GGATACGACAACCATCCTTTTGATATGGACCTCTGGTTGCATGAACAGGAGTGCGTGTTGGCGATGGCGTTCTGGCTGCACGACAGTGAGTGTTGAAATTCAACTTGTGTTCTTCCATCGTCCTGCGGTCACTGCGAACAGTCCTGTAGTCCACAGGGTCCATCGGCGGTCTCATTGGCAGAATGAGATGACCTGATTCACTGTCTTCCAACTGCAAAACCAAAGTACCTGGGCTCACTCTGAACTCGACACCTCCTTCACCCGGCAAGATCAGGAGTCTTCCATGCGTATCCAGGATGGCACGCTTGGCACGAAGAGATTTCAGTCCAAGCAACATCGGCGGCTGGCTGTTGGGAATCACAGGAGCGGTGTATGTGCAACCCAACTCTGGCGCACTGTCATGACCATCAACCAACATTCCCAAATCGAAATCGACAGACACTGCAGTTGTGGCGCACTGGGCGCTCTTGCCTACCCCACTGACATGAAGTGGTTCATCCAGCAGCTTCTTGCGGGCATGCGTTCTGAGCTGTTGCTCGATGGCTTCGATTGTCTCAGAACCTGCAAGATTATCGTGAGCGCCGGGGTCGACTAATAGGCCTGATCTACCGTCTGGAGTGCACGTTCTCATTGAGTGGTATGTGGGACGTCCTTGATTTATATTGGGATTATCTTCTCGGACCATCTCCCACCACGGGAATGCACTGCTACTTTCCGGATCAGGTTGTGAACCAGGCATGTTCGACAAAAGCTGCGACAACTGCAAAGTGGTTGCTGATCTGATTTCTTTCTGCTTCTGCTTGGTTGGTCGTGTTGGGCGGCTCGGAGACTCAGCATCCTGTGCATCATCGGCTGTGATGGCTTGACTTGGAGATGACCTGGAAGACTCAAGACCAGACAACAAGGCTTCGGTGGACGACATCCTGGGCTGTGCTGGGGCAGAACTGCTACTTGATAAACTGCCAACCATGAAAGATGTCCATTCAGCTACGGGTTGATTCACAACAACGGCTGCCTTCATCTGCAACTGCTGTGCTGTTGGAGCCGGCTCAGTTGGTGGTGGAAAACGCGGCTCAGGGTTATCTGCATATTCATCCCTCTTATCTTCAACAGCTGTATCAACCCTGCGCTTGCTGTTGCTGCTGGCACTCCTCAGAGATTCCAAATCATCAAAGAAACTACGCTTGGATGATGGGGCACTGGAATGAATTGATTCGGCTTCAAAAGTTCGGGAGACCAACTCACCTGTTTGCATGCGCATGGTTGTGAACACATGGGAGGCACCAACATCGGATGACGGACGGCTGGCGGTATCAGACTGATGACTGACACCTCTGGCAAAAAACTGAAGGTTCGAACCACCTATACCTGTCAACATGGCCATCTGCTGTTGACCTTGGCTGTCAGGCTTTGAACATCTTTTGGCAAGATGCTCAGTGGAGCCACATTTGAAACACTTCAGCGGCTGACCGTCACGGCCACGCGGGTTCTGTCGGCCATTGCGGCCCTTGCCAGAAGCTTTTCCTCCAGGTCCTCGGTGCGCAGCAAAAGCACCAGGTGGCAAGAAGGATGCATAGCTGGTTCCATACCGTTGCATTTTTTGCATGTTGGATTTGTGTCTGAACTTGTTGAAATGATTTCGGCGATACCTACGTGGAGGTTTGTTGGAAAACCGTCTCCATCTTCTTTTAGCTACCAAGTAGGCTTCGTACAATTCATTTCCAAGTTTTGCTGAATCTTCACTGAGATTGCCATACAGTGTTGTTACTTCATTGTCTGTCTCACCATCATCAGTTTCAGTTCCTGAAGAAAATTCATCATCGGCATAAAACATTCCACATCGTGGACATTGATCCTCATCTTCAGACATGACGGCAAAACTGGCTGACATGTTGACACCACTGGACATCGGGACATCAGGAGGCGACATGGGTGCTTGTGCATCGGCATTCATGCTCGGCGGTCCACCATAGTAGGTCTGGTAACCAGGGGCCATTGGGGGCGCTGGTTCACCAAATGAAGGAAAATAAAAAGCACCTACTTCACCTGTTGCACCTTGGCGGTTTGGAGGCATGAAGGCACCCTCATTCATCCTACCTACTCGTCTCAACCTCTCAAACAACTGTTGAAACTGCTGGTCATTGACTGGCATTTCACCGTCAAGTGGAAGCAACATTCGATCCCACTGCTCTGGACGAAGTCTCAAACCATTCAAAAGGATGTATGACATCGTGGCTGCATTCATGGCGAAACCACCCCTCTGAATTGCTCTATGTTTGAGGACTTCAAACCTAGTGAGTGCTGCATCCATGTTTTCTCCATTGAGTCTTGAGAAACCTACCAGCTCAGCCATGCTGCGGGTTTGCAGCTCAGTTTCCATCGGTGCATAATGCCGTGCGAGAGTTCTGCACAGCAAAAGGAGTCCAGAGACGTGTACCCCTTGTTCCCACACACCTTCTCGAAGCTGTTGCGGCTGCAACTCACGTATGAGGTCTCTTGCAGCACCTGTCACGACCAAGGCAACAGCAGGCGCATGCCTGTCTGGTTCCAGATCGGTAGCATTGCTCCAAAGAATGACATCAGACAACCAGCTTCTTAAGGAATACTGATGGCTGTTTTCATAAGACCAACTCGGCGGGGTCTTCAATGTTGCGGTTCCCACATCAGCAGTATAGTTGGGTCCCATGCGCGGACCATGATGTCCTTGTTGTTGTCGGTTCCCTGCGTGCATCATTCCAATTGAGGCCAGAATCAAACATGTTCCCAGAAAAACATAGATCACATGGAGTCGGTGTTTGACTGACCAACTTGACACTGACAGCTTGTTGGACAAACGTCTGAATGGATCATGCATTGAAAACAATTGGCTGGGGTCTGCATACATGCGGCTGTTGTTCACATGCACTGATTGCGAATCATTCACACCAGTCAGATTCATTGCACGCCGGCTGACATGTTCAGCCAACCTTCCACCAGTTGTCCAGCTGTCGTCGTCGTCACGTTCAGCATCAATGTCCTCGTACCACCAGGGATCATGCATCATCGGAGTTGCATTGGGTCTGACCAGAGCACTTGCGTTCACCTCAAACAGTGATGCATCATCATCATTGTCTGAATCATCCAAAAGTCCAATGTCACGCAAATGCTTGATCATCTCTGCTGGTCCCATGTCCTGTTGCAAGGACAAACTCATCTGCTCCAGGCGCTCCATTGCGGTCTCAACCTCTTCATGCGACCTCTTCATAGCTCGTCTCAAGAGCTCCACCATGCGTCGCTCTTCTGCCTTGTCTGTCGATGTTGCCAGCATGGTTCTGATAGTGGTCAAAACAGGATGATCAGTTACCAAACCATCCATGTTGAAACTCGTTGCAATGGATCCATCGTTGTTAGGCACGCTTGTCACACCACTGGTTGTCGTGGTTGCCAGAATGGCTGTAGACATGGTCGATTGTTCCCCAAACTGACTGTTATCCGCCCCAAAACCGTTCGCTGTTGAGATTGCCAGAGTAGTGCTAGAAGTGGTCCTGCGGCACAACATCGGAAACTGCACACACATCTCATCACGTCCACTGTTGACCGCATCCTTGATGGCTGTCTCAACACTAGTTGGAGCGAACACCACGACAAATGTGACAAGTGCAACAACTGATAGCAGGAGCAGGAGCCATAGCTCCGCTACCAAGTTGAAACACATGCCACATCTGTCCCTCCTAACAAACACCTGTCTGTCCAAAGCAGCATGCTTTCCCTTTTGCTCAGCACTGCATCGTCGGAAGTTCGCGGAGGGTTCCATGGCAATTGAATTGGCACTGGTTGATCGGAACGATCTGCCTAAAAGGCGGTTGTAGAGACATGTCCTTGAGTGACAAAGGGCGGCGAGAAGTTGATACCTGACAGGAGGTCACAAGGGCATGTACCATTCGACTATGTGAGCTGGTGATAACTTTAGGAATCATCTCACCGACCCCTATCACCCAATACCCATCTCACCAGCCAAATACTGGGATATCATCAGAAGCTGCATTCAGCTATATAATATGATATGACATTTATATATATATATGCGTGTGTGTGTGTGTTATTATTGCTATTATTATTGCTATTATTATTGTTATTATTGTTATTATTATTATCATTATTATTGTTGTTGTTATTATTGTCGTTGGAATAACGATAATGATAATGAGAATGAGAATGATAATGATAATGATAATGATATATATATAGAGAGAGAGAGCATATAAATTTGACAACTCATACCACCATTTCTTCGCCACGCATCTGTTCTGTTCACCAACTTCACATCATAATCTGCATTAAAAAAGGGAAACTGAACTGATATTGCGCATGCAATATTCAATATTCCAGAAAGATTGTTCATGATCCCTATCATTAAAAAACCCTCTGCCCGCCGGTACTCAAACATGGCTAGCTGGGAAATCCATTTAGTTCGAGGATTTCCCGGCCACGTTTGGATTACCGGAGGGTACTACTTACTCTCTGGTAATTTAACATGGTAACATGGCGGAAAATGATCCCCAAATCCAATGGTTCATAATCCATAGTCTCCATTCAAGTAGCTATTTGACTAGGAAAAACACATTTCAGACCCCACGTCAAGTTACCAGAAGGTACAGTACCCTCTGGTAAACTAACAGTTTGCTATGGAAAATCACCATCTTTAAGTTCGGTAAACCAACTATTTCCATGGGCCATTTTCAATGGCAAACTGTTAGTCATTACCAGAAGGTAATCCCTTAGATAATCCCCATATTCTTGCAATCCCCATGATGGTTTACTAAAAATGGTGATTTACCATGGCTATATTAAATAACCAAAGGGTATCTGAGGCTAACTGGTGAATAACCAGAAGGTACCCTCTGGTAAACTAACATAGCTATGGAAAATCACCATTTTTGATGGGTAAATCCACTATTTTGATGGCCATTTTCAATAGCTATTTTGACATAACCAGAAGGTAAGAGATCCACCAGTCGCGCCTCCGGCGCGCCAAGCCCTGCCGCTTCGCACGGGCGGCACCGGCGCCGCTGGCACCGGCGGAGCCTCCAACGGCTCCGTGGAGGCTCTCCGTCGCGGCGGCGCGCCGGCGAAGTAGATGCAGCCGTCGTGGGCGGCCTACGGTGACAACAACGAGTGACATAACCGGCATATTGGGATTTTATAGTGATTTAATGGGATTTTATAGTGATTTAATGGGATTTTATAGTGATTTAATGGGATTTTATAGTGATTTAATGGGATTTTATGGTGGTTTAATGGGATATTAATGGGATATACCCTCTGGTAAACATACAAAAAGCTATTGAAAATGACCATAGAAAGAGTGGATTTACCCAGCTAGAAAATGGTGATTTTCCATAGTTATGTTAGTTTACCGGAGGGTATAGTCAATGACCACAAAATATGGCCTCAGATGGTACGGTACCTCCATAAAATGGATCCTAAGATTCCCATTGATATAGTGGAAATACCATGGTTATATTGCAGTGGGCTATACCAAAGTTATATGATAGTAGATACATGGCATACATGAGAATATCAAATGGGATATTCAACATGGAATAGAATGAGATACAGTACATGCCGGATGGGATATGGGATATGTAACTATTAGTCGAAATGAAACATAACAGTCCGCTTGGCGATTTCCATGGGAAGATAGCCATTTGAATTCAATGGGGACACACACACACATATATATATATATATCTACATGTTTGTTTGTGAGATGTAATGAAATAGTTCATGGGATATAGTTTCCGCGGACATGATTCTTGTCGTTTTTTTAAACCACGGGTTGCAGCTGTCCGATTTAAACGTAACATCACCCTGGCCGATTACGGGAATCACCCTGGCGTATAAGCGCAAATGATGAATAAGCGCACACTGCAGACATCTCACTGCAATGAGAGATCTCTGTATCATGTTGGTATGGTTTAGCACTTATCCTTTGTACCTGTACGTTGGATTCATATCATACACATGTGCATTGATATAACTCTGGGTAAATTATATTAGTTCACTAACCTGAAATAAGGTCATTTGATAACTGTATGGTACGACCCTGCTAAATGTTCTGGCCACTGCGGGCATCTTTGTTGAGTTGAGCAAGTGGTTTGTGTATCCTCCCGGACATGGGGAATGTGATAAAGCCAAGAGTAATCCTACCACTTGGTCATGGTTTTATACAACCCATCTATATATGGTTATTCTGCGGGCAGTTGAAAAATTTGGCTTACTACATTATATAATTGTTTTATCGTAGATGCATCGCACTGCAAAGCTACCCCAAAGTGCAAAAAAAAACGAGTGGAAGACATCCTTCAGTCCCCAATCCCCCCACCTCACAATTAAACATCATCAAACCCATCAAGAGTTTGATCCCATCTATAATATCCATAATATCTATAGTCATTGACATTAATATCCTATCTATAATATCCATCTATAATGTCTATAACATCCATAATATCATAATGTTTGTAGCCTGCAGTCTACATGTAATAGATATTATAGAAGTCAAAATTTCATAAAATTTCCAGATATAACATGTTATATGATGTTATATAATATCATAACATGATATAACTGACCCATCCCAAAGTCCAAAAAATGTTAACCGCCGGTTTTGTTCTTCGCACCTTGGGTTCACCAGCTCCCCAGCTCCAGTCATCCTGGCGATGGAGTTCGTAGCTGCTTGGTGGTTATGAAATGCTATGCCCAACTGAAAGGAAAAATACAATGTGAGGCCCCCAAGATAGCTAAGTTAATTTATAACTCCAATAACTATGGTTTATGGTACTTATAACTATAGTTACTGGGGATTATAAACCAACTTATAACTGGGGGGCCTCACATTGTAATCATGTTCCAAACCACCAACCAGGTAGTAATTGAAAGTGATTTGCAGAAAGATGTGTTTTCTTTAAGATCATGAAAGGTTGATTTGATCCTTGAGAAATTGGATCATGAAAGATTGATTTGCAGAAATTGGAATGTGATCCTTGAGGAAAATCAACTCATGTAGAGCCGAATGACTCCAAAAAATGGCATCGCTGCATATTTTCGCTGAAACCTCACCACTCCTAAAGCCTCCTGGAGGCATTGGAAAAATACAGAAATCCTGGCAATGTAACCTGGGGACGTGTCGATCGTCAATACCTAAGATACCATGCCTGGGGGGATGAATATACATTTACTGGCTATCTGTATCACAGTACGAGGCTGCCCCATCTCCAGAAAACTCCCGAAATCTCGAGGATTCATGGTCTCAAAGGGAGGGAGGCAAGAGGATTCACCAAAAAACAGCTTCTTTTATGCCAATGTTAACTCAGGATTAACAAATCCCCCCGTTTTCAAATGGGACGGCGTCAATTTTCTGCAATAAAAATTACCACGATTTGCACATATGTGTGCTATCCATCAGGTTGATATTGCAGGGCCCATGCCGAAAGATTTCCGCGGCGCCTGCATTTCGGCGATGAGTCTGGCGATCCTTTCTTCGCGCGTCTCCGGTGCCTCCTGGATAGATGCTACGCTGCTACGCTTGATCTGGCGGAGATTTCATCCACAATTTTTTGGGAAACAGAAACGAGGATACGGCCGGTCTTGCCACTGAAACATGTTCCGTAGAAATGGTTGCTTTGCATTGGCATCAGAGTAGCCCAAAGGTGGACGCTGGTCGTGTCATGCAAGTCCATCCACATTTAATTGACGACGGCTATGCCCCGCTCAACATGCGGTCCCAGTAAAGCTCGTGCCTTATTTTTCCTCAAGCAGCCCAAATCTATCCACTATGGACATTGCTACCTGCAGAATTTCTGACTGTCAAACATTCACAAATGGCCGCTTGAGAAGAAAATCCTGTCCAACCTGCTTTCTTGACCTCATTCCAGGGCCACTATGCCCTTCTGTTGGTCCAGCTCCTCTTGTCCTGCTCGCGGACAGCTTCCATGACAACCTCCTCGTCACTCTGGAGTTCCTTAGAGGCATATTTGATCGCGAAGCCATTTCGACGGACCGCTTCCATGACGAACTCCTTGTCATTCCTGAATTTATCACCAGCATATTTTAGCGCAGAAGGATTTTGGCGGACTGCTTTCATGACAACCTTCTTGTGACTCTGAGATGTATTGCAAGCCAAATTCATGTCAAAACCATCCTGCCGCACTGCTCCCATGATCAAAGCCTTCAATCGCGCCCTCCACCCGAACCTTCGGTGGCGCCAACCCAAAGCCCTGAGTTCCCGGCTGGCATATTGTAGTGCAAGGCCATTCTGGCAGACTGCTTGCATGACCACCTCTGTGTCACCTTGGAGTTCTCGGCTGGCAAATTTTAGCGCAAAGCCATACTTGCGGACTGCTTCTAACACAATCTCCTTGTCACCCTTGAGTTCCTGGGAGGCATATAGGAGCAAGGAGCCATTCTGGCGAACTGCTTCCATGACAACCTCCTTGTCACCCTTGAGCTCGTTGGAGGCATATTCGATCGCAGAGCCATTCTGGCGAACTGCTTCAATGACCACCTCCTTGTCACCCTTGAGTTTCTGGGAGGCATGTTTGAGCAACGAACCATCCTGGCGGATAGCTTCCATGACAACCTCATTGTCACCCTTGAGTTCCTCAGAGGCAAGTTCTAGCAAAGTGCCTTTCTGGCGAACTGCTTCCATGACAATCTCCTTGTCACCCTTGAGGTGCTGAGAGACATACTCTAGCAAGGAGCCATCCTGGCAGATAGCTTCCATGACAACCTCTTTGTCACCTTTGAGTTTCTGAGAGGCATTTTTCAGTGTGCGGCCATTCTGGCGAACTGCTTCCATGACAACCTCCTTGTCAGCCTGGAGTTCCTCAGAGGCATGTTTGAGCAACGAACCATCCTGGCGGACAGCCTCCATGACCACGTCCTTGTCACTTTGGAGTTCCCTAGCGGCATTTTTGAGCGCACGGCCTTTCTGGCGAACTGCTTCAATGACCACCTCCTTGTCACCCTGGAGTTTTCGGCTGGCATATTTTAGCAAACAGCCATCCTGGCGGACTGCTTCTAGCACAATCTCCTTGTCACCCTTGAGTTCCCGGGAGACATATACTAGCAAGGAGCCATGCTGGCGGATGGCTTCCATGACAACCTCTTTGTCACCCTTGAGCTCGTTGGAAGCATATCTCAGGGCAGGGCTGGACTTCCGAACTGCTTCCATGACAACCTCCTTGTCAGCCTGGAGTTCCTCAGAGGCATATTCCAGCAGAAAGCCGCTTTGGCGAATAGATTCCATCACCACCTCCTTGTCACCCTGGAGTTCTCGGCTGGCAAATTTTAGCGCAAAGCCATACTTGCGGACTGCTTCTAACACAATCTCCTTGTCACCCTTGAGTTCCTGGGAGGCATGTAGGAGCAAGGAGCCATCCTGGCGGACGGCTTCCATGACAACCTCTTTGTCACCCTTGAGCTCGTTGGAGGCATATTTGATCGCAGAGCCATTCTGGCGAACTGCTTCAATGACGACCTCCTTGTCAGACTTGAATCCCTCCCAGACCGATTTTAGCATGTCGCCTTTCCTTCGAACTGCTTCGATGACAACCTCCTTGTCAGCCTTGAGTATGTTAGATGCACAATCTAGCGCAAAGACACTTTGCCGGACAGCTTCCAGGACAAATGCTTTGTCTCGTTCCAGTCTGTCTCCTGCTGTCTGCAGGATCTCCATCTGTGTCCGAAATCCTAATCCTCGGTCAATCTCCGCCCTTGACAGCAGAAAGATTGCCTTATGGAGGCCATACCAGTCAAAAAAGGCATACATGTATGCTCCACCGTGGTGCATTGGATGCGCGTACTCGGCTATGCCCAATGTCACTTTATCCTTTCCAAGCCTTCCGGCCCCACCCGCATCTATCAATTTGAGTTCCAGCTGGGTTTCTCCATGGTTTCCTGTGAACTTGTTGGCCACAAGCCAGTTCGCCGGTTTCACATCCATGTGCCCCAAGCCAGCAGCATGAAAATGTTGCAGGGCGGAACTCATGTCTCTCTGCGCAGCCTCTGCAGCTGCCTTTGTGTGCCATCCTGTCTCCAGCAAATCCTGCACCGAACATCTGCCCAAGTCCATCATGTATGCCGGAAGGCGGCCACGCACAGGATCCAAGATGTACCCGTGCTGCAAGACCTTGATGATGTTGGGATGGTTCAGCTTGAGCAGAGCGGAAATTTCTGTCTCCATGTGTTCCTGAGACCTTCCGTCGCGAAGCGACGACTTGACTATCTTGACTCCATATGCAGTCTGGCTTTCTGTGTCCCGGACCCGCCAGACTTGACCAAAACCTCCTTCTCCAAGCATAACATCTGACCGCAGATTCAGGAGAATCGGGCTGCCCTGTTGGTCCACTTCCAAGACAATCTCCTCTCCATCAATGACAGGAGGTGTATCATCGGTTGGATCTGGAACAACATACAACGGCAGTTCTACAGCGTCACGAAGCAGGGCCTCCCTGTGCAAGTCAAACAAACGCCTCAGGCTGTTTGAATCACAGCTCCTCCAGCGCTGATCCATTGTTGTACTGGACCTTGCAGTTGCACCAGCCTCTCTTTGTGCGAAATTCCTGGAGTTTCTTCTGGATGCTTAGCCAATTGGTTTCTGCAGAAATCTCCGGCCCAGAGCTGAGAGTCACGCGCAAACGCTGACGAGATTGGACCACGAGATCGGTGTTCAGCAAGCAGAGTTCAAAAACAATGCCCTTCAGCATCACGCTCCGCCCGCGGAAAAAGTGAAACGAGTGGTGGCTTCAACCTATCAAACAGTGGTCGCTTGAAATTAATCATACGAGTACCAGGTAGTTTTGGAAAAAAAAGAGTATGTGAATCAACACATTGGAAACCATTAACAAGGTGACCAGTTTGAGGAAAAATGCGTGGCTTGCACTGCACCCAGTGCTTAGTGGTCCAACCATCCAGTGACAACAAAACGATGTGTCCTGACTGTCGCGTTGAGCAGCCGAGGCACAGTGCAAGGACGTGCGGCTGCACAATGAAGGAAGAAAAATATGGAATCCACATTGACATGGGCATCTTTGTTTGGGGATGTGAACTTTGAATGTTAATTTTCTTCATTCCAGCGGTATGTGTGGTATGATTATTGGTCTTGGCTTTGACTGCTTTGACCCATGCCATGAATTGAGAGGGTCGACTGGGATCATCCTCCCGATACAGCGAAAATGTTGCCACCAGCGGCTTGAGGGGTTGCTATGAACGTAATCTCAAACTTGCAAATGCAGAAAGACTGCTCTTCATTCATAGTTTCTAGAAGGAGAGGGAGGGGAAAAGTCAACTCTCCAGTTTTTTGCGTTGGAATTTCACGAATATGGGTTGTTTCTATGATTTTGAAAGGTCTTGATATTTCAGGGTAGCTATTTCCCATCTTTTTTTGAAAAACTTCGTTTACATCAAAGACCTCAAAAGGTGGTGCCAGACCCTGCCTTGGGTCGGCCAATTGCCCCACTCCGGTCATCTTTCGCTGCCTGGTGGCAGAAGAACCCAATGGGAACCGGAACTAAGTTGGCAAAAGCATAAGATGCCACAAAACACTACAAATTCCAAGAGTTTACTTTTTAAAAATTCTACCAGCACCAATCCTCGGAAGCCTGTTTTTTTCCCAGATCATGTTCATAAGACTCAACTCTGAAGACGTTGGAAAAATTAGAATGGAACAAGTATGCCAACTATGCAATGAACTAATGCAACCAGGAAATGCGGGCATTGGAACCAACCAAAAAGATCCAAAAGCGGGGAACGTGGATGCAGCGAGGACAGCTGGTGATTTCACCTATATAAATACTAGTAACTTATAAGACTTATTAGTAGGATACAACCAGAAGGAATGTGATTTTGAGACTTCACCTCAAAAACATAGGCATGGCATGGCATGTCAATCTCCAAAGACTGGCCAAGCATAGCATAGCCCCGGCTGCCACAAGCTGCCCACAAGGCCACCACAATTTTTCCACAGGCAGACCAGATCTATCCACTGTGGAATCCTCACTATGCCTTCATCTTATGGCAGCCATGACATGCGTCATGACATCCGGGTCACTCTGGAGATCCAAACAGGCATAGCGCAGAGCCTTGCCATCTTGGCGGACTGCTTCCATGACAACCTCCTTGTCACTCTTGAGGGCCAGAGAGGCATAAAGCAGGAAGCGACCATCTTGGCGGACTGCTTCCATAACAACTTCCTTGTCACCATTGAGTTCCTCAGAGGCATGAAGTAGTGCAAGGCCATCTTGACGAACTGCTTGCATGACCACTTCCTTGTCACCCTTGAGCTCCTGGCTGGCATAAGCTAACGCATGGCCGTCTTGTCGAGCTGCTTCCAGGACAACCTCCCTGTCACCCTTGAGGTCCTCAGAGGCATATTCTAGCGCGGTGCCATTTTGGCGGACTGCTTCCGTGACAACCTCCTTGTCACCCTGGAGTGTGTCGCAAGCAAGTTCCAGCGCAAAGCCATTCAGGTGCACTGCGTTCATGATAAAATCCTTGTCACTCATGAATTTCACACAGGCATAGCCCAGGGCGCGGCTATTTTGGCGGACTGCTTTGGCGACAACCTCCTTGTCAGCCTTGAGTTCATCAGAGGCAAAATCTAATGCAAGGCCATTTTGACAAACTGCTTCAAGGACAACCTCCTTATCACCCCTGAATTTCACACAGGCATATTGCAGCGCAAAGCCTTTTTGGCGGACAGCTTCCATGACAACCTCCCTGTCACCCCGGAGAGCCTCAGAGGCACATGCTAGCGCAAAGCCAGTTTGGCGGACTGCTTCCATGACAACATCTTTGTCATTCTGGACTGTTTTGCAGGCATAGAATAGGACCCAGCCATTTTCGCGCACTGCGTCCATGAAGAAGACTCTGTCACTATCCACAGCGGCTGCCGCTTTTTGAAAGGCCCGACGGTACGGGTGAACCTTGCTCTCAGAGTCAAAACTTGAAAGAACGTAAATTGCCTTGCGCAGGCCATACCAATCAAAAAAAGCATGCACGCGCATCAAAAAGTTTCTCAAGCCTGAGCAATAGTTATGAAATCCTGATGGGAACTCACCTCGATGGAGTGGGTGCGCGTAGTCGGCAGTAAACGATGTCACTTTATCCTTTCCAAGCCTTCCGGCCCCACCGGCATCTATCAATTTGAGTTCCAGCTGGGTTTCTCCAAGACTTCCTGTGAACTTGTTGGCCACAAGCCAGTTCGCCGGCTTCACATCCATGTGCCCCAAGCCGGCAGCATGAAAATGTTGCAGGGCGGAACTCATGTCTCTCTGGGCAGCCTCTGCAGCTGCCTTTGTGTGCCATCCTGTCTCCAGCAAATCCTGCACCGAACATCTGCCCAAGTCCATCATGTATGCCGGAAGGCGGCCACGCACAGGATCCAAGATGTACCCGTGCTGCAAGACCTTGATGATGTTGGGATGGTTCAGCTTGAGCAAAGCGGAAATTTCTGTCTCCATGTGTTCCTGAGACCTTCCGTCGCGAAGCGACGACTTGACTATCTTGACTCCATATGCAGTCTGGCTTTCTGTGTCCCGGACCCGCCAGACTTGACCAAAACCTCCTTCTCCAAGCAGAACATCTGACCGCAGATTCAGGAGAATCGGGCTGCCCTGTTGGTCCGCTTCCAAGACAATCTCCTCTCCATCAATGACAGATGGAGGTGTATCATCGGTTGGATCTGGAACAACATACAACAGCAGTTCTACAGCGTCACGAAGCAGGGCCTCCCTGTGCAACTCAAACAAACGCCTCAGGCTGTTTGAATCACACAACTCCTCCAGTGCTGATCCATTGTTGTACTGGACCTTGCAGTTGCACCAGCCTCTCTTTTTGCAAAATTCCTGGAGTTTCTTCTGGATGCTTAGCCAATTGGTTTCTGCACAAATCTCCGGCCCAGAACTGAGAGTCACGCGCAAACGCTGACGAGATTGGACCGCGAGATCGGTGTTCAGCAAGCAGAGTTCAAAAACAATGCCCTTCGGCATCACGCTCCGCCCGCGGAAAAAGTGAAACGAGTGGTGGCTTCAACCCATCAAACAGTGGTCGCTTGAAACTCATCATACGAGTACCAGGTAGTTTTGGAAAAAAAAGTATCTGAATCAACACATCGGAAACCATTAAAAAGGTGACCAGTTTGAGGAAAAATGCGTGGCTTACATTTCTTACATGTCCCTCTGGTCCAACAATATGTCCCACCAGTCCTGCCCGAGCCACGAGTCTCGCATTGCCCGAGCGAGGTGGCAGCGAAGGATGAGCGGCTCCGGAAGCCAAGTATAGGTGGGATCAACATTGGTATCCGCTAATGTCAACCCTGGACCAATAAACCCCGTTTACGGCTGTTTAATTGGGAAGGTACCATTAAAAAAAGTATCAAATCATGACTCTTGGGGGAATACCCCCTAATTAATGAACCATGGTTGATTAATCCGGGGTTGACATCATAGGTCAAAACTTCAGTGCCCAGCACCTCAGGCAGCTCATGCGGAGGCTCCGCCTGTTCCGCCCCTGAAGCGTGGAACAGCGGAGCGAGCGCTGGGATTCGAAGGACATGAGGGTATCTGGATTGAGTTATCCCATCTATAATCATCTTTACATTTATATTGGGATTTATGTATGTATATAATATCTCTCTCTTGTGTGTATGTATATGTTTTCTTTGATGTATCTGAATCTATCTGATATATTGAGTTGCATCCCTTGTGCATTTTTGTGGCTATGGACTGGTTTAACCAATCCCTGCCTGCTGTCTCCTCCAAAATGGGTTCCGGCCGCACCTTCCAGGTGCTTGGTTAGGCAAGGTGTCTAAAGAATAATATCTACGGTGGCCGGTGGCTTGAACAATACAAGATAATGGGGGAATCAAAGTGTAAGACTAGATTTGACTTCTCATGTTCAGTTATAATATAATATATATATATATTATATATATATAGCCTATAGCCTTGACCTATCCCCCGGTTTCACCCGCTGTGTTGAAATCCCCTTGTTGCTGTTGGTTGAAACCTGATTTCTGTTGCTTAAACCTCCAGCTTTGATCACCGAAAACCATTTTGTTCAACCATAAGACTTGCAAAAGAGATTTCTAGTACCCTCTGGTAATTTCACGTAGCTATTGGAAATGGCCCATAGAAATAGTTGATTTACCCATATTAAACATGGTGATTTTCCAGTTCGCAAACTGTTAGTTTACCAGAGGGCAATGAACTACCCGGAACTACCCTTTCACCTATGTGTGACGACTGCGTGTATATAACTGCCAGCAAACTTTTGAGGCTTACCCAGTTATCCATATTTTCGTAAAACACACCCTTTGGCAATCAGACATGGCTCGAAACTTTGGAGATGATGCTCGCGATACAACCGCCTTATAAGGTTTTGAACATGTAATTATACTTTATAATAAACCACCTTATATTATATGATATGTTCAATCGCCACGTTTCAAAACCCATCAGGCGCTGGTGACCCACCGGGGCCTCCCGTCGCCCTCGCCACTTCCGCGGCGCTCCCTTGATGGTGGAAGTCACAGGTGACGTCGCTTTTGTGTCAGGGCTGCCTGGCGGCGCGGTGCCATGGTGCCATGGGCCATCACCACCATGGACGTTAGTTAAACCAGTGATCATATGGAGGGCATATATGTTCATATCATTTATGTGGGTTTCATAGTATGCTGGGGTCAGACTTACACTTATACCGGGGGTTTAATGGAGTTTAATACTTGAATAGGTTTTGATAGACCTGCTGGGTGTCTGAAAATGGGATAGTCCGCAAACGGTTCTGTTAATAGGGGAAAGGATGATGCATCACTGGAATTTGGGGCATTATTACCCTTTTCCAGGGGGAAAAAAAAACATCTCCCCTCAACCCAGTTACAATGGCTTATAACCCACACAGTCAGTAAGTAAAAATCATTGAACAATCTGTCATAAAACATCCATGGCCCATCTAAGTCATGGGCTAAACTGCATTTCAATGCCATAAACCTCCAACTTGACGCACCTGCATCTGTAGGGGTCTTCATTGCGTCTTCAGCAGGCCTTAGGTCCTGAGCGTGACGGTCACGACGGACGTTCATGGAGATACTCTGGTTGCTGTTCCCTTGGGGCTGGTCGCTCTACTTGAAGAAAAAGTTGGACTCGCGAACTTCCCAGGGTCACAAGTGTGTCAGAACCAGATGAAATATATATATAATTATATATATATATATATCCCTGTTGGATTATGTTAGATTAATGGAATATCCCCAAGTTGTGTATGGCTTATACCCCTTGGGCGGCTCCTCCATCAGTACTTCATCCGAAGCAGAGGCTGAACTTCGAGGGCTGCACACCTGGGACGCGGTGAAGTCGTTGGGGCGCTCTGACGTGCCAAAAACCAAGGAATTTGATTCTGGTTCTTACAAGGTGGTGCCCCCCCAGTTATAAATGGGTTATAATCCCATTAACTAGTTCGATAGATCACCTATCAACTATAGTTATTGGACTTACAAACCAACTTAGCTAACGAACTGGGGCACCACTCTGTAGTGGGTTTTGATTGGTGTTAATGAAGCTTAGCGGTTGAAGTTGATCCCTCATATGTTCGCAAGCCCAGCATGCTGATGATTTTGCGGCACTGAGTTCCCGGACTCTCCGCGCACCAACCTCTTGACAAAGCCTTGGAGGAAGTCGAGCTATCGCTGTGTCCACCCCCATCTGGAAAATCACTAAACTACTAAACATGCTGGTTTGATGTTTTGTTGGGTCGTTTCACCAAATGGGACCGAAAGTCAATGTAGAAAAAACACACATGAGTCATCATGAGTCATGTCCACAGAACGCCACGAACACAACAAATTACTAGCCATGAAAACCTGATGAATTGAGAAAATCCTCGTCCAAAGCCCAACCTTCGTGGCGCTATTGGTCTTCCAAAGCCAACCCATTTACATCCGCTTGAAAACGAATTAACACATCTCAACCCCCCCTTAAAAAAAAAAAAACGAAAACCTGAATTCTACCACACGATTCTAGGCTTGGATTCTTGGATGTCAATCGAATCTTGCGCTTTCGGGGGTTACTGCAGTTCCCACCGCCTCACTCGCCCAAGGGACTGCTCCAGCGACATCACGCGGCCGTCCATTTCCAGGTACGTCTCGTGCCTTGGTCATGGCGGTTTGCGGTTTGGGAACCGGAAAACCACCATGACTTTATGGGTGAATCATCAGAAAATCACCTGTACATGAAGCATTATCATCCATTTTACAGAGCTAATAGCTAAATAGCTATGGTTGAATAATCAGAGAGTATAGACGAAACACTTGATCAAGAAAAATATGCAATTCACTAACAAAAATCAGTGGTTTTACCAGGCCAACTAGGCATTTGATACTTGAAAGATCTTCAAAGAAATAGAAATATCATTGTCATGTGCTTAGTTTGGAACGACACAAACTTGGATTTGACGAAGAAGATGAGAGCACAATGGGATTGTAGTGGTAGACATCTAGAGCAGGGATCTATTGACAACCATGAGAAAGCCAAGGTTTTGATTAACAAAGACATGAAACTGACAAACTAAAATTGAAGGATGCGTGAAACAAACAAAACTGGGCAACTGACAGGCCCAGAAAAAGAATGCTTTCCGGTGGAGAAAAACGGGTCTTCAAAACAAAAGGGTCTGCGGGCGTGTCGGGGATAGATTTCTCCCATCAACATGTCCGCAGTTTCAAGGCTTTGTCCCGCTGAAAACCCAAGAAGGTGCCAGAAAAATATACAAAAATGGCAAGAGATGACAATCAGCTTTGGACTCCCAGTGTCTTAGGTTTCATAGATGTACATGTGCGCAGTATATATATATATATTCATTCATCTGTATATTCATACATACGTACATATATAGGTTCCATGTCCGACTTAAGAGGGTGACCCCTGTCCCAAAAAAATGTTCCTATTCAGAACGAGCATCTCTGGCTCCTTCTCTGGCACATGCCTCATGGCCGACAGGATCCCCTTCCCTAGTTCCTACTGGGCGGGCCATGGAGTTTGTGAATTGGATAGTAACTCCTTATAACTGGTGTACACTGGCTTATAACCCCCTTACTAACCACTCAAACCAGCTCCATTGCCCATCTGGGTATCCAGTCGGATGGTTGGATCCTAAACCTGCACTGGGCCTAGCCCATGCCCGGCCAAGCCACGTGGTGTCGTCCGGATCAGCTTCGGGCTCGGGCGCGGCTGACGCCGTCTTTTCCACCTTCGCAGGTTCCGGGTCAGGGGCGGTCCTGCGCGGAATGGATGGCTTTACTGTAATCTCTCTTCTGGTTGTCATCCAAAAGTGATGCTTGAACCTACTGTCGAAGGAATATGTTTCTGGATTCAAAACTTAAACCAAATCGGATACCAATTCCAATGACATCCCCATGAACAGGAACCCTTCATCCATTTTGACATATGTTGACCATCTCTACTGGATCTTCATTTTACCCTCTGGTAAACTAACATAACTATGGAAAATCACCATTTTTAATGGGAAAATCCACTATAAATGGTCATTTTCAATAGCTTTTTGTATGTTTACCACAGGGTACATGGGGCCAAAAAACCCTCAAATTCCCTGGTGATGCCCAGCCAGTCCTTGTCTCTTCGCACATCACCTGCGTCACCTTCACCGCCACCGGAGGCTGCGTCGCAGCTCCGTCGCTGTGGAGGAGCACTTCCAGCTGCCTCCGTTGATGTTGGAGTTAGTCATGTTTAGCGTTGGGAAACTATGATTTATGGTACTTATAACTTATAACTATAGTTAATGGGGTTTATAAACCCAAGAATCAACCTACTATTATCTATTTGGGGATCGTTTATACCACCGGTAAAAACGTTGATTTGGGGGATGTTTTATTCTTGGGTTTACCGCACGAAACAAAGTGCAAGGGTTTTTTTTCTTGCATGTAGTTTTCATAGTATGTCCAAGTTTTTCCTAGAAGTTTTTCCTTAGGTTTGCCAGGGGACTGCTCCCTTCAAAATCCTTGTTCTGCCAAGCCGTGTAGGCCTGTGGATCCCTGGTTTCGTTGTGATACTCATGGAAGATCAATGGCCGGTGACGCACGCCCCTCTGAATCAGTTGAATCTTCCCGGATTGCAACTTGACGATCTTTTACCAAAACCCACGTCGTGGTGCCAGTGCCTCGCAGCATAGAAAATCGCTGGAAGCACCTTTGATGCGGCGGCCTCAAGCCAAGGGCGGTGGCATCAGCACTGTTGTGGCGAAGAGTCCGAAAAAACTCGGTGAATCTCCCAATTTTGGGGGTTCAATCTAATCTTAGGTAGAGGAATTCCTAAGGAATAGCATGGAATACTCCTGTATTCGTCAAATATCGGGTCACACATCCTACTCGGAAGCGCAGTTCCAGCTACAAGGTGCATATAAAAAATATCACTATAGTCAGTTATAGGGGGTGTATCCCAACTTATGAGGTTTTAGAACCATGGTTATACCCATTTAAGTAACCTCAACTGCACCCTCTGGGTTCCTAAGAAATGACCGCTCAACGAAAAGTGAAATCGGATTGCCCACCTGCAGCTCAGACTGGAGAGCTCCTCGGCTGCCTTGGACATCCTATTTAGCAAGTGCCTTAAGACCCATACGTATATGTTTGCGTGTATATTATGTGCATGCGTACGTGTGTGTATATATATATATCTGTGTGTGTGCGTGTATGTGGGATTTCTACTGACTATATTGGGTCCAAAATGGTTATACCATGTTATACCAACTGGGGTGCGCCCCCAAGTAGGAGATACGGGGTCCTTACGAAGCATCGGCGAGGGACTGAGTTTTCTTGGACTCATTACATCCAGCAGCCCCTGAACCCACAACTTCCTTTTCCCCATTGGCGAAGCCTGGTGCTAAATGTAGGGAATGGATGGGTTGCTGGGGGAATGATACGATTATTGATAGTGATTATGGATCATTCCCTCATTCCCTGCTAAGCACCAGTAAGAAGCTATCTTGCAAACCCCTTCCCATTTGGCGATAGTTACAGTGCCCGGCCCTAATCCTAAGCATCATGTACTTCGTCAGGTCGCAATGTGGGGTCGCGATCATTTTTTTCCGATCACATTATCCCCGTTGGTTATATCTCATCATATGCCAATTATCCCACAATGTTCCTTGGTTAAACCCCTTTTTGTTCATGGCTTTTTCCTCGTCAAGTGACCTCTCAGCAACAGAAGAAAACCCACCGCAGTAAGGGCCAACACCTGGGACCAAGGCTCGACATGTCCGTCTCTTGGGGGAGTGGTTGGGTGGAAAAAAAAAAAACGAATTTCATCGACGGAATAACACTCTGTAGATTCCAGGGGCTCAGCCCAGGGGCTCTGGCCCAGGTCTGGGGGGAGAAATCCATTTCCCACATCCCATCGAAATCCTGGGCTCGTGCACCATACTCACCGCTTGTGCAAACGATGTTTGGGCGGCCTGAGCCTCACAGGAGCATGGTGGAGTTGGCCGGGCCAGGTCTAAGTCATTTCAATTTGCAGCTTAGGCAACCAAAGGTTTAGCCGGTTTAGCCACTTTTTTGTCTTGAAGCATACAATTAGCAGTTTAGGCCATTTGGATGCGCACAGCGCCACTACCGGCCGTGTGCAAATGACAATGCACACTGACGTTGCGGTTGTTGATAACCACAACATTCTCAGGTGTGGAGCGCGGCATGCATGGGTTCAAAAGAAAGTTCTCCAAACGTTGCTACAGAACGTGTCCGAAGATTGGGTGCCCAAACAAAATTTTCCCCTTGCAGGTAGACCAAACAGAGATGTCGGCGGGGGATTCGATGCCGTCTTCAGAACGGGTCCAGGCTTGAAGCTCCAAATTTGTGTTCGCTACATGTCACTGCCCCATTCAGAACCAAACAAATGCGCTTGGGGGGGTTCAGTTCCATTAAGCCCTAAGCATAGCCGACTGTATCCCGATCCGCGCCTGTAAGTCTCCTGCAAAGCCCGCAGGAGGCAGCTGGGTGAAAGGTCATCAGTCACACATCTCCCAAATCTATTTCGGGCTGGTCATCTCAAAAGTAAACGCAAAACTCCTATTGCCTGTATCACTGTCAGATTTCACCATACACTCATCAAGAAAGTCCTGAAAACCAACCCCAGTTTTCCCCCCTCCACTCCTCCAGCTGCAGCTGCCATGCCTTGCTCCGGCCCGGAACTCACCTGTGGCATCTCTATTCGCCTTGGCCCCGGGCCTGGGGGCCCCTGGGGCACCTGGCGGTGCTGGGGCCCCTGGGGCACCTGGGTCACCTGGGGCCCCTGGCTTCGTTGGAAAGCCATAGGTGCCCCCTGCTGCCTTCCTGGCGTTTGGACACCCGGCGGCCAAATGCCAGTGGGGAAGGAGGCTGGGAAGGGCGCCGCAGCCGGCCAGGGTGGTACCATGCCACTCGCGAAGGCTTGACCTGGAATCTGGAAGGACTGCTGGGAGGGAGGTGGTTGGATCTACTAAGTATGATTTTAACCTATGCAAGAAACTAGACGGAATGAATTTTGGAAACTTCCAAAATAAAAACTAACAAGCATACTTCACAAGTCAAACGATTTACAATTTGCAAAGTGACACTGGCCGACCAACAAATTCAATGCAAACAAGGTGGCAAAACTATTGAGAGATACACTCTTGACAGCAGCAAAATTCCACCAACGGTATTCCCTCTAGTAGTTCTAAAGCATTCAAGTCACGTTCTAAATTCACAACCTGCCCTGGACATGGGCAAATGCAACATCCATGATTTCATGATTGGAAGGTGAGGTTTTGATGTGGGGGAGCGCCAAAAATCATTTGCAATGATCCAACGAACCTTTATACAAGTTGCAGAATGTTGTGCATTTTGATTTAGGTCTCCCGAGGAACATGAAGCACAACCGAGGATCGGCTTTCTATGGGAATGTTGAAGTGCAGCGGGGTCCTTAGTAGCGATGAATTCATCTTCAACGTCACCACCTACGTTCTCATCTGAATCGTCATCACTGACACCAGCACGAAGCAGCAACACGAACTCGCGGCGGTTAATGAACTCAAACCAAATTTGCTGTCAAGTGTGTGATGATAAAGCGAAGCTGGAAAAAACCTGTCAAGGGACCCATGAACATCAACCCTTAGTTACTTTAGTATGGCATTCCTCCCAACCACCTTGCTATTCCATGCTATTCCGAAGTGGTCATGTTTCTCCCAACTCGAATAACGCACGTCCGACCCGGAAGCATTCCGAAATGCACATTGGCCCGGATACTCCCGGGCATGCAATCTCGAACTCCCGGCGCCCAACCCCAATTCAAAGCATGTTTTTCCACCTTGCGCAACCGGCGTCCTAGGATAAAGCCACCAACCAACCTCATCACACGTGTATATGCCAAACACGCGGCGCACGGGTAAGCGGCCCCCAACTTTCCCATGCGGAGATGTCTGAGACTCAAATACCCCAAAATCAAATGGTTTTAATCATCATTTCCTGTGCAAATGCCATAAGTTGAGGGTATATGCACATTACTTTCAGGCACGCCCACAAGTCGTGAAAAAATATTTTCGCCCCAACGACAAGCCGTATGCGGCTCACTTCAAATCCGACACGCCTCGGTGCCGCACGACAAGCGCCGCAGGTCAGGGACTGTCCATGAGACCAAAACCAATGGGTTGGTTGAAATCGCCTGGGAAAATTGGCGTTTACCCCCAAGTAAAAAATGTTTTCGGCAAATTGTCCTTGAAGCGCCAAGACATGGGAAAACTGATTTAAAGAGCCCATCACTACATGGGGTTGTGATTTCAATCCAACATACTGGCGGAACCAATGTGGACCGAATGTGGGTATGCTGGGCAGCAACCAAGCGCCATTTGATAAAATCCATTCGGCAACTGTATCGGTTTGGAAAAAAGGCAACGATGACCACGTCAAATGACATAAAAGCAACGCTCGCAGCTCCCGCAAAAACTGGGAAGGATATAGGCATCAAATCAAGAAGCCCCTGGCGCGTAGCGTTTTCCCGACTCTGTGTAGTGAGAGTTCAGTCGTACGAGAGGCAGCAGGCCGGTGAGTGGTTGGATCAAGTTTGATGCTTCGTATTCGTATTCGTCACGTTCCGGTTTTAGCACATTGCTGTGAAACGGGCCACGTTGCAAGCTGAGGTGTCCGTTTTGGTTGGATGTCATGGTAGTGTTTTCACAACTTCCTCTTCTCGAGACTTAGCATATCATTCCGGAACCTGGTAGCCACTTGTCTGTTCGCATGAGTACTAAGCATGGCGATCAGAAAATGCTGGGAATTCAATGCAATTCAGGGTGGACATCAGGATACGGCGTGTCGACATGCCAAAAAAAAAACTCGCAAAATAAAAATATTCTCGCAATAAAAGAACTTGGCATTGTGAGACGACATTTTGGCATGTCGACGTCCCGTGAACATCCCCCAGTTTTGTCACGACGCTGCAATTTCGGATGCGGGCAGTGCACGGGGGGTTCAACCCTTCAAGCCATTGAAGAAAGCCATCTGGCTTCAGCCTACGCCTCCAGAACGCTACCTGAAGGGGCTGTGGACAATTGGTGCCATGTGCCAACCAGCCATCATCTCTGACACTGGCAAAACAGAAAATTCCTCGATGCTGAACCTGACATGGTCTCAAAATAAATTGAAAATTGGGTACAAAGTGGGGCCCCCTAGATAGCTAAGTTGGTTTATAACTCCAATAACTATGGTTTATGGTACCTACAACTATAGTTAATGGGGTTTATAAACCATCTTGTAACTGGAGGGCCCCACATTGTACCCTATTCAAATACCAAGGCTTCTTGTCGTTTACCATTTGGGTGGCCACTGCCTTCTACTGCCTCCATACTCCGAATTTGGCAAGCCCAAAAAGGCCAAAAAAAGGCCAAGTAAGGCTACCCAAGGTTGCCCCAAGCTGTCTCAACACTCCAGAGACAGAGAATACTTACCCCAAAAAACTGTGTATAAAAAGTGCTAGACATAGTGTATATTATAGTGGTATCATACCCTGATTTAGTGCATAATAGCTGTAGTACTACTTGTCATACACTGATGATAGTGGTTTGTATTGTGTATTACATGGAAATTGTTTTCTAACCCCCTTGGATTTGACATAGTTGTCCCTTTCCCACTGGTTGGTTTATTGATAGATGGTCCCCCTGAAAACCAACGGGCAGATGAGAATACAGAAAATACCAACCCAGTCGAAAGGACAATATTGCTTCTATATTTAAGGACAAGTCAAAACCCCTGGTACCCTGGTGAACGTCAAGATAGTTCGCAAATGGATCTCCAGGTGCGCGGTTTGACATGTCCGAAGCTTTTTTGTCCCCAATGTCCAGAATTACGAATTTCTAAAAATTGATGGGACCTTTTTCTCCCCGTAAACCCAATAAGCCTCCAATTGATGCTCACGATAAAATACAGAAAAAGGGGATGGCTGGCGAAGAACCTGGTGACCTCATCACCTCGTAGCTCCAAACTGCTCCCAAAAAAAACGCTGTTTTTGGAAACAGACCGTCGCCATTTACGAAACTGGCACGAGAACGCGAATAAAATGGATAATATGAATAATTAAATATAAGTAAATAAATTGTACATTGCACATGATTGTACATGATTGTACATGATTGTACTGAAAATCACCGCCACGAGGCTATCATCTCGGACCGGAACTTGGCCATTGGATCTGGCTCATGAAGTTCAAAGAAAACTCGGACCACCGCTCCCCCCCGAGATCTCCCGAGCACCTCCTTTGAAGCACCCAGAGTTTGTCCTGGGGACCGGAGAAACTGCAGGCAGCACACTTCTTCCAGAGATCAAGGCCAAGTTTTCGGCACTGGTGCTCTGCTATGTACACAGCCCACAGGCAAAATGCTGCGGATGTAAAACCGGGCTCAGTGATGAAGCTATCTTCATCTATTTGTCATCCCGGTCAACATTGAAGCCGTTCTCTCGCGCTTTCGCCGAAGCCAGTACGTCCTTGTCACTCTGCAGAGTCGCAGAAGCAAAATTCAAGGCGAAGCGATCCTGCCGGACTGCTGCCATGACGACCTCTTTGTCACTCTGGAGGGTCCCACTCGCATAAAAAAGCGCGAAGCCTTGTTGCCGGACTGCTGCCATGACAACGTCCTTGTCAGCCTGGAGGGTCTTGCAAGCATGTTGCAGAGCAGTCCCATCCTGCCGGACTGCTTCCAGAACAAAATCCTTCTGACTCTGGAATGTCAAAGATACAAATTCGAGCGCACGGCCATGATTCTGGACGGCTGCTGAGGCAATCTCCTTATCACTCCAAAGTTTCTTCCCAGCAAATCTCAGCGCAAGGCCATGCTGTCGAACTGCTGCCATCACGACCTCCTCATCAGCCTGAAGCGTCTTAGAAGCAAATTGCAGTGCAAAGCCACGCTTGCGGACTGCTGTCATTACAACCTCCTTGTCAGCCTGGAGTGTCTTGGCAAATTGCAGTGCAAAGCCATCCTTTTGGACTGCTGCCAATACAACCTGCCTGTCAGCCTGGAGTGTCTTGCATGCAAATTCCAATGCAAGGCCATCGTTTTGGACTGCTGCCAATACAACCTGCCTGTCAGTCCGGAGTGTCTCACAAGCAAATCTCAGCGCAAGGCCATGCTGTCGGACTGCTTCCAGAACAAAATTCTTGTCACTTTGGAGTGTCCTGCAGCCAAATTCCAGCGAAGAGTACTCCCCCAAGAAATTCTCCCCATCCTGTCGGATTGCTAACATGACAACATCCTTGTCACGCTGCAGTGTCTCACAGGCAAATCTCAGCGCACGGCCATAGTTCTGGACTGCTTGCATGACAACCTTCTTGTCACTCCGGAGTTTGGCAGATGCAAATTGTAACGCACCCCCCTGCCGTTGGACTGCCTCCAATCCGACCCTCTGGGTAGCCTGGAGGCTCTCAGATGCAAATTGCAAAGCAAAGCCATGCTGTCGAACTGCTGCCATCACGACCTCCTCATCAGCCTGAAGCGTCTCAGAAGCAAATTGCAGTGCAAAGCCATTCTCCTGGACTGCTTGCAGGATGAACTTTTTGTCGCTTGCCACATTCTCTGAAGCCTTCTGAAGGACTTGCTGGTCTGTCCGAACTCCATGGTCATGGTCAGAGTCCGAGCTCGAAAGCTGGAAAATTGATATGCGCAAACCATACCAATCAAAAAAAGCCTGAGCATACCTCACAATCATGTGTGTAGAGCCTTCACCCTGATGCATTGGGTGTGCATACCCTGCAGTACAGGATGTCACAGGATCTTCGTCAAGCCTTCCAGCCCCACCAGCATCAATCAGCTTAAGTTCGAGCTGGGTTTGGCCATCGGGCCCTGTGAGTTTATTGGTAACAAGCCAATTTCCGGGCTTCACGTCCATGTGCCCCAACTTTTTAGAATGAAGATGCTGCAGTGCGGAACTCACATCTCTCTGCGCAGCATGAGCAGCTGCCTTGTTGTGCCATCCTGTGGCAAGCAAAGCATCAACTGAGCACAGGCCCAAGTCCATCATGTACGCTGGGAGGCGGTCAGTGACCGGATCCAACACACATCCATGCTGCAGGATGCTAACGATATGGGGATGGGTCAGCGGAACCAAAGTGGAAATCTCTGTTTTCATGTGTTTCTGCGACAGTTCATCTTGGAAGGACATTTTCAATGCATAGGAAGTAAGCGTTTCTCTGTCTTTGGCTCGCAGCACTTTACCAAAGCCTCCTTCTCCCAGCAAAATGTCTGAATCCAGAGTCAGGATCATCGGGCTGCCCTCCTGGTCCACTTCCAAGACAATCTCCTCTCCACTCGTGGTAGATGAAGAAGGGCCATCCGTTGGATCTGGAACCAGATACAGGGGCAGTGTCGCAGTGTCACCGACCAAAACCTGGCAGTGCAACTCAAGGTAACGCCTCAGGCTGCTTGGGTCACACAACTTCACCAGCGCTGTGCCGTTGAGATACTGGACCTTGCAGTTGCCCCAGCCCTTTTTTTCGCAGAAGTCCTGGAGTTTCTGCCTGATGCTTGGCCATTCAATCTCACCTGTGTCCAGGGTCACGCGCAAACGCTGACGAGATTTCACGCTGAGATCTGCGTTCAGCAAGTGGACTTCGAAGACGAGTTTCTTCGGCATGGCTGGTTTGAAAAGAGAAAACTGCAAGGCTAGCAGGGTGGCACGCAAAACATACGGATGATATGTGCTGCTGGCTTCAAGTTTCACTTTGTACTGATGCTGCATCCTCAAGTTGGCGCTGGTATCCTAGGGCCAAAAATCTGAAACATGGAAAACTCATGAAAACTCTGCACAAATGTTTGGACCACTTGGTATGGCGCGGGATTTGAGCCACGGCGCCTCTAAGTGAATTCTCAACCACATGTTACACAAAACGTCTGATAAAAATGTGGGAGCCATGGTCATTTACACACATAAATTTATTTGTCAATATGTTCATTTATTTAGCGTGTTATTGTTTATCAGATTTATCTTATTTTTTAGTTTGTATAGCAATGACTAATGACAATAATAATGATAATCATCATCATCATAATGATAATGAATAATAATAGTGATAGTAATGACATGTAATGACAATAATGGATCAAAATTGCCCCATTGATCCCCGCCCGCGGCCAGTCCTTCCGATGGCACAGGTTCGATTTCGAAGATGGCCCTGGTGCCCCATAGTTAGCTAAGTTGGTTTATAAGTCCTACGACTAGGCTTTATGGAGATTATATCTATACTTCATGGGGATTATAAACCAACAAACGTCACTGGGGGGGCCACCTTGTATAATTCTATGATCACTTTCCCCTCTAATTGACCCAAGCTAAAGCCCTGGTTTACTTGAAAGATCTAATGAATGCACAAAAAACATTAATGGTACTGAAAAGAATCCGGATTCAATAAAAGTCGTGAAAAGTCATGGGAAGTCATCTGCCAGGGGGTCAGCAATCCCAGGTCCGTCTAAAAGGGATACATATATAATATATGTATGGACACATATTATGCACACGCATATTCATTATGCATCCAGCTTTGCTATCATTTGTGTGGACCTCTGTGTCAAAACTTAAGCCATGAGCGGTGCATGTTGGTGAGACAGAACTGTATGATCGACCTCTTGAAGCTGGCAAGTGCAAAGGTTCAAGGAAACACTTTAGAGACAAAATTCATTTTGAATCATTTTGATGGTGCTTTTCGGAGTTCTCATACTGAAGGATCAGTATGATTCCCATTCCACCGACCCCCGACCCTTTTCAGGTCGAGCTTTGTTTGACGCGCAAGCGTGTCCTTCCAAGGCTCAGCTGGTCATCGGAGGCCAAGGCCTGGCTGGAAAAAACTACAGGTCAGGAATTCACCTCCCAGGCCATTCCCAGGCCATTCCCAGGCCACTCCACTTCTCCAGTCACTTTTTGTTGCAAAAAAAACCGGTAACAACCACCAATCCCAATGTTTGATGCTTGAACAAGTAACAAGTAGACCCAAATTGTCAATCCCAGCCTCAGTTTGAATCCAACTAACTAGCGCTCACCATGGCAACGGATGGCAAGCGAAGGACGTGGCAGGTGTGGTGCCGCTCGTTGCAGCCCGAATCAAATCCCACGTTGGGGTTTCGAAAATAAAACAAATGTTTAAAAACAAAAACGAAACAGGAGGCTTAACCACCTAAAAACCAGATGAAGCATCATTAAATAAGTGCTTGAAGATGCCTGAAGGTTCCAGACTATAAGCGGATGGCACAAAAGAAACACATGGACACTTCGATGGAACTTTGTCTGAATTCTTGGTCACTGGCTTGATTCATGCTGGATTCGGATTTTCTACAGAGAACCCATGGGTGTTCACCATCCAAGCCGAGCAACCCCTGAGCGCCCAGGGGAAGGTCCGCGCCAAAGCCTCCATGGATGTCCCAGGTCGAAATGATGGCCGAAAAAGTGAGAGGCCCCTGGGGAGTTTACAAACATAGTCCTGGAATGGGAAACTCTCCAGAAATTGAAGTATGTTTTTTTTAAACTGAGGCCTTCAAAATGCAAATCTGTGTGGAAGAAAGCTACTTGCACCTTTCGATCTTGAATTGGAACTGACAGCCTGCTGATCCAGCTAGTGTCATTCACCAAATCCTCTCAGCGGTTGGATCTGTTATGATCTGTTAGACAAGAACCGAGACTTCCAACATCTTGTATCACTAGTAAGTGCTTACATAACCATAGTTGTAGGGTTGCAGCCCAACAACTAGGGGGTTATTCCCATGGTTTTTTTTGCCATGAAAGTCAACAAACCCAGCACCTGTGCGAGGCGCTGGCCGACCAGACACATGACTCTGCCTAAGCTCCGTGACCACCCAAAGAGGGACCCAAAGACCCCCCTAAGGGGGCTTCTCCGAGTCAGTGAAACCCCCCATTTTTTCTGGTGAGAAAATCATGTTCCCCATTAAAATGGCCATAAAAAAAGGGCCTATGCTGTGCTAACCATTTTTGGATGAACCTATCCCATGACCCCCTGGCGCCAAAGGTACCCCAAGCTCCGCCACACAGCGCTGTACAGGACTAGGACGTATAGCACTGGTCTCAACGCCATGACCATCTCTTTTTTGCTGCTAAAATCTTGCGACCAGGGCGGCCTGGAAAACCCTGGTTTCCATGGGAAAATGATGATCTGAAGCATCAAGAACGTGGGGCAACGTTGGGGATTTCACCAACAATTATTTTGGGATTTTAGGGTTGGTTTATGATAGCTAAGTTTGTTGAAATAACTAGGCTGGTGACTGGGGTGATGGTAGAAATATCGAACTAGTTACAGTACTTCAGTTTTCATTATCAATGGGTAAAAAATGACAGTGTTCAAAACCCAGGAAGGACGCGGACACATCATGGGAATATCATCAACACAATGGATTGTTGTTTAGGTTCACCTGAAATGTCATTACATTAAATACTGGGTGGTCAGTAGGTGTCCCCACCATGGATGATAATCCCCAATATATTGGATAGTATCATCTCCTATATCATCAACCAACAAGGGTTTTGAACACTGTTCAGCCAAAAAGGGGTGGCTTCTGGAAAGTAAATTTCTGTGTTGCTATGTGTCTGTGATTCTTTATGTTGCGATTGAAAGGGAGTCTGAGTAGGTGGTGATTACTTCCGAAAATATTTCTACAACCGTCTCCTTGGGTCGGCCCAATGGGCTCCTGCCAACACATGTAAAAACATATTGCATTCATCTCGGCCTCTGCTTTACCCCACTAACTGATGACATGTTCATCCACAAGGTTGTTTTTAATCGTCATTTCGATGATGTCAAAGCGAAAGACTACAAATATCATCCTTCCTCTTCCTTGAACCCTTTTTATGAATTCCCAAAATCATCGTCATCGTTGGGTTAAGGCATTACCTTGCTTTGTTCTCTTATCGCTCTGTTGGTTCATCACATTCTACCTCTTCATCACGCGTATTCTCATTCAACTCATCAGTCGCCAAAGCTTCAAACTATCCCACTTTCTACCTCCGATAATATATATATATATACTGTAAGGTATTGTTTCTTTCAGTAATTGCTCTATGGTTCAGAGTTGAGGTATCTCGTGACAAAGTTGAATGGCAACTCTCAAACCTTCAACGTGCGTTGTAGTTCTTCATCGTCTTCATCATGATAAAGTGTTCTTGCACTTTGTGCTGGTTTCCTCTTCCATACTCGCTTTGCATTGTCCTTCTCAGTCTTCATGGTGTTCTGGTTTTGTGTTTGTCTGTATGCTATGTCACTATGTCCAATTCTTGGTCCTGAATATGATCATATCCATCGATTTAATTGTCCTCTTTAGCTCTGTTATTGTCTATTTATCCATTCTTTCATTGTGGCCTTCGATAAGTTTGTTTTCCGTATTGCAATGCTCGTCCCACACACGTTCGAGTAAGTAGTTCCAGCGGGTTTGGTTTCTACCGTTTCTACTGATACGCTCAATCGTTATAAGACATCCACAGTCGAATTTAGTCATATATATATATAGTGATTTGTACAAGTGGTTTTTCTCTGTATGGAAACTTGGCAAGAAAATGCAAGGAGACTACCAATAGATATCACAAGCGATGTCTGTTACAATCTTGAAACGGCTTTGGCTCAATCAATGAAACCCTCCAGGAAGCAGAGGAAAAAGACCCAACCACCAAGAGCAAAAAGGATGCATAAACAACCCAACAAACACACTAGGATAGGGTTCAAACACCTACGCCGCTCCGTGTGCGGCGTTTGTGGGTGAAATTGACATAATGGACATGCACTGCTTACCAAAGTTCCAGAGGTGAAAGTTCCCGTCAAGAACTGTGAGCTGAGATACAGCTTGGTCGTCATAGACAAGTTCGCAAACGTGTCCCTATGAAGGAAAGGTTAGGTGGAAATGCATTCAATTCCCCAAATTGGCAGGGCACCAATTCTTTATTTCATAAGGTGAAATGTCTTTAATTCTTTGTTGTCTGGTGTTGAAAAGCAAGGGGTTTGGTACAAATAAAATTTGTCCAAGTACCGTTCCTGCCACATCATTCCACTATTGGCTGGACATTTGAAAATACTGCGAAGGGGGCAGCTGTGTCTTATAAACAAGTAGATTTAAAAATGACATCCTGCCATCTTGGTGGTTGCAAGCACAAGCGGCAGTGTGGGTATCAATCACCCTGTTGGCTCCTACAGTAAATGCTTTACTCTTACATTACAATAATGCGTGTGATCTTATTACTCAATTCAGTCCTGCAAAGTCTAGAAGAAACAAATTCTGTTCAATCCAGTTTGATGTTTTCTCCTTTTTATTTCTGGTGCTTTCCCATTCCTATGGCAGTGCCGGACTGTTGCCGTGTCCGATGCTGGAATCGAAGTCTCTAAATGGATGATGAATGTCTCTCCAGTTTCTGCTTAAACTGTTCATCCAACAAATTGAAATTAGGTGACCGATGCGACCTTCAAAATCCCATCTTCCACAATGTCTTCATAACCTCAGTGTGGCAAAAAAATGCGTCCCAAACTGCCAATGTGGAGACTGTAAGGTCACAAATGCTTGCAATGATATGACGCAACCGTCAGAAGGAGGAGCAACTGGAAGGAGAAGAGAACTATTGGGAAAACCTCGACAAGCTGGCTGCCTTTTTTGGCAACAAGTTCTGGATCTGGTGTTCTTGCTCTTGAGCCAGCCACGCACACACGTTTGTGAAACACTTCGGTTGGGAAAGCAATGGAAAGCATGCCACGCCGCGTAAGTTTCCTCAAGTTATACAACATCTGAAAGTGCAAGCACCAGTGCCCAACGCGCACGCAAGCGGGCCCAAGCTTCTCCAAAGGTCCCATCCTCTGAGCATCCCGGCAAAGAACAAGTCAGGGACGAAGCCAGGGAACCAAGGAATGCAGTGGCCAAATTCTTGACCTTCTTCATCAAGAGGTTTTAACCAACCCCCAAAGGTGACCCCAAAAAAAATCGGATGTTTTTCAGCCCTGCAGTGGTGCCCTCATTGTCGGTTGGCTGAATCACGACAAGAGAGAAAAGAAAAGAAATACATTTCTCAGGACAAGCAAAGGGAAGGTAGAAAGATGGAAAGACCTACAAGAAACCATAGCAGAATAACGTGCCAACGTCGAGTCCGCAGAATCCCTTTTCAAGGAAAATTCTACAGGATATTGTTGAATTTTAGTTACACCTAAAAAATATAGGGGTTTCCTGCAAATGTTCCTTGCAACCCATGGGATCTTTGCGGGGAAACACGTCTCGGATTTGATCCCTATCGATGACCGACCCGATGCCAGGACGTGTGCACCAAGTTGTGTCACAATTCTCCAGCATAGAATGGATACTATGTTGACTATGTGTGTATTTAAATATATATATATATATATATGTATGTATGTATGTATGTATGTGTGTGTGTGTGAACAATATGGAGGCTCTCTAAGCCCAAGAATGGGAAACTCACGGTGCTCATTCCAGGGTCGGACGCGCATCCAAGGGGATGTGAGCAACCGATCCCACCATTTTCTGCATCAGACTTTCCGTGCAGGGGTGAAACGTAGGTGAAACCCGGCTAGTCGGCTAGTCCATGCGCCTCGCCAGAATCATAAGAAAAATTCACTCATGCAACCCATCAAAGCTCGTTGGGTTTGGCTTCAGCAAGGTTTCCTTCAGAGTCTCTGTTTGTCTCTCTTGTTGTTTTTTTGGGGGGGCGGCTGAACATAACTCGATTGCAACGACCAACCAAACCAACATCTGAACCTGATGAAAAATTGCATTCTATTTGACAGGCGCTGGATGCTGTCAGGAGGGCAGCTGAAGCGCACTATGCTCGATCAGGTCGTTCTTCTCACCTACAGGTGCTGCTGGAAAAAAGACGCAGTGCAACAATTTCACCACAAAATCCGGAAGGGAAGGAGCAAAAGAGGTCGCTTCAGTACACTACTTCGTTTTGAACATGTTTGGAAAAGGGATCTCTTTCATATCTTTACCACTTCATTTCGATGTGTTTTGAAGAGTTGCCGCATGGTGGAAGGGTCTCATGGATTCCCGGACGCCTGACATCACTGTTCTCGCTGAGGGAGGACTTCGTTTGCGACTTGGGACTGAGCAAAGGGCCCCGGGCAAATGGTTTGGGTGGTTAACGATGGTTAACTGGTTCACATGATAGCCCAATGGTTAGAATTGCACATTCGAATGTGAGCCAACCAGCTGTTTCATCGATATCGATATGACCTTAATTCGTGAGCAGTAAAAACCATCAGCAGCCAAAATGATTATGGACGCAGTTGCGAGTCTCAAACTGTTTGAGTTGCAGAGGTTGGGTCGCAATTGGAATATAGTAACCCCCAAAGAGATCAAAACAAAGGAAGTTGAATTTCCATGAATTTTCCCATTTTCTAGAGGAAACAATCTTACACGTGCTCCGTACTTTGTTATTTTGCATTCTTTGTTGTTTGAGGTTTGGGGTTGTCCAGCTCAAACTAGCGCCTGGGGCCGGAAACGGAAACTATCTTCAATATGTCATTTCTCGATGACCTTTGCGCTAGTAGATGCTTGCACCAGCAACCAACCAGTTGCCCAATCGGGAGTTAGTCTGGCAATCAGAATCCCCAATCTTTATCGGAAAATTCTTAGGAAAATGTCCACAAAATGTGTTTCATGGATTAAAAATTGTCTATCTTATCTAGACAGCTGAGATCAGCTGAGTAAATCTACTGACATTTGAGGATTTACGATATCTGTGTGTCCAATGGGCCTTTTTCCTTTAAAGTTCCACATGTTTTAGCCCATCTCAACGGAGATTCAGCTGGACCTCGGTGCTCCCTCTGCTCGCCTGACCGGATTCTATGGGGAGATTTGTGAAGAAAAAACGAACAAAGGGACCGGAAAAGCAGCGTTTTTCACCGTGTTTCGTGTTTCATCTTTTTTGGGCAAATCCACCCTGCGTTCCCCCCACATTCTTTACCCAAACATCCTCGCCCTGCCGAAAACCCGTGAAATCGGCGATGCCTCGCTTCCTCCGTAGGCGCGTCGGTGTGCGGCAGCCCACTCTTGCGATCGATGTAGAGGTCAAAGACCTATGGGTCCCAGGAGGCTGTCGAGGTGATGGAAAACCCAATTTTCGAACACAACTCATCACAATTCATGTGGCAAAATTGAAGGTCAAGCCACATGATCTGTCTTTAGGATAGACCATGGGATAGACATCTTGGGGTTGGGATGTCTTTCTGGGTGTGTCACATTGCGTGAGCCGAACATGTCGGAAATCCCATGCGACAATGATTTCAATCAATTGACTCACCACTTGAAACTTTCCCAGGGTGGTCGCCTGCTTCGGGGTGCAGTTTCATTGAATTGATATGTGGACATGTTTGTCGCCATAGTTGCAGGGGTTGTCGGGATGATGAATTGTATCCATAAAACCAAGCCCATCAACGGTTCATCCCCATTGGCATTCCATTATGTATGTGGCGCAATATATATATATATGTATATATGTATGTATATATATATATATGTATATATATGTGTGTGTATATATGTATATATATATATACATACATACATAAAAGAATATAACATAACATGACATAATATTACATTGCATTCATACATACATACATACATACATTTCATACCATACCACGCCATGCCATGCCATACCATACCAACATACATTACATTACATTACATTGCATTGCATTACATTACATTACATTACATTACATTGCATACACACGCATATATATATATATACTGTGTGTGTGTGAGTGAGCGTGTGTTCCTCGAAGACCTTCATTAAAATCCAATTCTTCATGGTTTTTAGTCCCCCTTGAAAACCATCGCTCGGCCATGCCCAACACACCCGGGCTCTGTCATCCAGGGCAGACCTTGTGGTCCTTCGCGTGCGCTTCGTCGTCCGTGGTATCTTCCACGATCTTACGCTCTTGTCGGAGCGGTGGCGAGCGGTACATCACTTGCTTGCCAGCCTGACACCCGTGAGGAATGTGAGGAGCTATCAAAAAACGATGAAAGGGGCGATCAACGCATCGATTTCAAATCAAATACATGTGTATGCATGTACGTGCATATATATATATATGTGTGTGTATGTGTGTGCGTGTAAGGAAGCAAGTAAGTAAATATATATATATATATTCAATAATAATAATAAATAATAATAATAAATATAATAATAAATATAACTATATACAATATATTAGAACGTATAACGATTTACGCTATATATCATTCGTCTTGTAGGCGCGCATACTGGGAAAGAGATGAAAGAGATAGAGAAAGAGATAGGTGTGCATAAATGCGCCGAATCCAAACTCCAAGTGACTGCAACGTCCATGGGTGTCAGGACGTGAGCAGTCTGGAAAAACCTATCGGACCTATCGGAAACTTCCGTGCCGTGGTTGGTTAATGGTGATCCCCGGCTCATGGTTTCCAATAATGTTTGATGTATCGGGCAGTAAACCTCCTCGCCATTATCAACCAAATTGTTCTTTTAATAGGGCATCCCCAATGGATGATGATCATTAATGATATCTACCTACCTACCTGACCTACCTACCTACCTACCTACCTGTCTGTCTGTCTATCTATCTATCTATCTATCTATCTATCTGTCCCCGCTAAAATCTCTCTTTTTACCGGGTCTTCCGGGTATTGCCCACCAGAAAGATTGGTTTGCAGAAACTGCCCGGTGACAGACCAGCGCCAGTGAGCGTGCCTTCTTAAAGACCGGCTTCTGCGAGCGTTGCAGGGATTGCTTCAGCCGATCCTCGCGTCGGTGACATACTTACTAAATGGTAATATTACAAGCCACTTACTACAATAAATCCCCTAACATCCTATAACATCTGGTAATACGAGATCCCCTACCATCTTATAAGTTATAAGCCACTTTTACAGCAAAACCAGCACAGCAACAGGTGCACCAGTCTCAGAGTGAGCACTGCCGGTGTCCTACTTCATTCAAAAAACATCCCAACCACTGAATCCCATTTTATGGCAAGATTGATTGCATCCCCGTTCTGCCCTCTTTTTCTGTCCCAAATAAATCCCGCATGGCTTATGGCAGCTGTGTCCTCTTGTTTCTCCGACTGCTCTCTGAGTCGATTCTCGCGAACCTTGGCAACTTGGAGCGACGTCTCCGTAGCTGGTGCCCATTGTCATTTTTCGCGTCGATGATGTGTGCTGCAATGACAGAACAACTGACAGGGAAAAACATAAGTATTGTACAGAAATATATGCATATAGTTGTAAGTATGTATGTTTATTAATTAGTATGTCGACATTATGTAATACATAAAGAGTGCACATTGCATCTGACACATCGCATCCACCCCCGAAGCCGGCTCAGGCTCCGACTCTTTCCCTGCGATCTCTTTCCTGGAAATGTCAGGCCCAAACCATTTGAAGGTCTCAAACCATCTCATGATTTGCTTTAACGGAACTTTCTGTTTATGAATCAGCTTAGAAACTGTTCAATCGGTATTCTTGCCTTGATCAAAGCAACATGTTTCCTCCCAATGATCGTGACTGTTCCCAGTTTGGGCTACAGCAAGCCACTTGCGAGCCATGCCCATACTAGGCCCGTACCGCCCCAGCTGCCCGAGCGAGGAAAAGTCCTTCTGCCACTCTAATCTCATGACCAGTTCTTCGTCCTGTCCAAGTGGATGGGCTAATGATCATCATGATAACAATAATAATAGCAATAGCAATAGCAGTAATAATAACCACAAATATATTAAATAATAGTCCTAATGTGTAGAAATAGTAATAGCTTTGTGAAAATAGTAATGATAACAATAATACAAATAATAGTAATAATAATCATCATCATCATGAGGAAAAAGGCCACCAAAAATAAGTCCACCGGTCCTGCTGGTATGCTTCGTCCAGTCCTTGAATCAGTTCTTCAATTCCTTGCCACCAAAGGAACGGGGGAAAATAAACTATGGTTTCTGGTAGGCATAACTATCGTTACAGTTAATGGGGTTTATAAACCAACATTCACATCACTGGGGGTGCACCATCCTGTGGGGCGGACCCTTCAAATCCGCCATTTTCGTATCCTTGCCCTCCCAGGAGCAAGAAAGACTTCCCAAAGTTGGCCCACCCTCCCCGGGAAGAGTAAAATAACTAAAACATGTGAAAACTCTTTTCCCTTACCCTTTACATGAGAAAAGAAGTTTACGAAAAAACATGCAAATTAGTTTCTCATTTGGGATTGTCAACATGGTGATTCCCCCATGTATGTCTATTTTAACTTTGAAAAAAATCGTCACCATTGGATTGTGGGGTACCCTATTTATTTTCAGACCAACCCCATGGACGCTTTCGGAACTGGCCACGCGTCTGGACTCGATAGCTCCCAGCATCTGCAGGGTGTCCGGTTGCTGCTGATCCCGCGCCAACTCACAGCGTTTGTAGACGTCGTGCACCTGAAAATGAAACATGGCTTGGTGGAAGACCTGGACCAGACAAGGTCAAAATGTCGAGAATAAGTGGGCATATTCCACATATATACATACATACATACATACATACATACATACGTACGTACGTACGTATGTATGTTATGTTCTGTTCTGTTCTGTTCTGTTCTGTGCTGTGCTGTGCTGTGCTGTGCTGTGCTGTAATGTAATGTAATGTAATGTAACGTAACGTAACGTAACGTAATGTAATGTAATGTAATGTATGTCTGTATGTCTGTATGTCTGTATGTCTGTATGTCTGTGTGTCTGTATGTCTGTATGTCTGTATGTCTGTATGTCTGTATGTCTGTGTGTCTGTGTGTCTGTGTGTCTGTGTGTCTGTGTGTCTGTGTGTCTGTATGTGTACATTTTGACTTGGAAATGTGCTTCGCGCCACAACGGCGTGCACTTTTTCGACATCGCAACTTCCAAAAGTGGTCCGACAATGATGTGTTTTGTACGTTTTGACTTCGAAATGTACTTCGCGCCACAACGGCGTGCACTTTTTCGACATCGCAACTTCCAAAATTGGTCCGACAATGGTGTGCTTTGTACATTTTGACTTCGAAATGTGCTTCGCGCCACAACAGCGTGCAACTTTTCATCTCTCATCTGGCCAGCTGGCTCCGCACCCGCCGCTTTAGCGAGCCTACTTTTCGACCCTCCGGAGCCCCAAATCATTGGAAAAACACAGTGTTTCGCGACTTTCCTACCTTTTCGCGCATCTCCATCTTCTTTCTTCTTACTCTTTCTCTTCTACTCTTCTTTCTTCTTATCTTTCTCTTCTCTCTGCCTCTTCCCTGCTCTGCTTTTCATCTGTCCATATTGTCGGAAGTTTGACTTCTAAACTTCCTTCGATTATGTATATGAGTGTGTCTATAGCAAGCCCGTCTAGCTATACAATACGACCAGCCCCCGTCGCTTTGTATATCTATTTTTGAGAATATCCGTGGGCCAGCCAAGCGAGTTATTTATCTATCCACGCAACACTAGCCGGCTCGCCAGGTATCTATTTGCCCATGTTGGTGTGTCGTTCGATCTACTCAGATCGCTGGCTAGCCCCTATGCGCCTAGCTTTGTGCCCAGCCACGGATCTCCTGTGGGCACTCCATCTACTGGAAAAGCAACCCAAAGACCAGATGCCAAACATACACGTCCGACCTTTGCCAGATGATTGTTTAAGTTTAAGGGCTTGGTACGTGGATGTCGCAGTCACCGAGTGCAGACCAGTGGCCGAAAAGCAATGAAACCAGACGCACTAGGGAGGTGCAAACATTGCAACTGCAGGGGGATTAAATTTCAGCCCCAAGCTGATAAGCCGCCATGCTGCGCTGTGACAAGCGAATCTTCCGATGAAGACGGATCATACAAGCACATGTGCCTTTGCAGGCAACGGTGCATTCCGGAAGGAAATCTGCGACCCAAACTGCGTGACTTTGTATGCTTTCACCAGAATGCAAGCCAAACAGGAAACGACAGGGAAAAGCATGATTTGATACACTGCCGCGGATCCAGCGCGAACATTCTGTAGAAGGCGGGTAGTTACACCCAGGCTTTATTCGGGTCATTTCAAAAAGTGACATAGATCTCATGAAAAAGAAGGGGGGCTGCAGCTGCAGAGGGGCGTTCAGCTCGGCAACCTTCCTTGTACCGCACCACATTTAACACGCATACGAAGCGTCTGTTGCCATGGTTGTCATCGTCGTTGTCGTTTGCACTTGTCCCTCGTACTTGCTCCTGCCTCGACCTCCTCGTCTTCCTACTTCTCCTTCTTGACTCCTCATCCTACTCCTCCACCTCCTCGACTCCTCTTGCTCCTCCTTTTCCGCCTCCTTCTCCTCGACTGCTCCCCCCTTCTCCTCCTATTTCCCGCCCCCCACCGGCTTTTTTGTTGGACAACCTCCGGTTTCCCACGCATTCCCTTGCCCACCCCCGCCGCCAGCACCACCTGCACAACGACAGCAGCAACAACAGCAGCAACGGCAACGGCAAGGGCAATGGCAACAGCAACAGTAAAAGCAGCGCAACAACAAAACAACAAAGCAACAGAGCACCAAAGCACCAAAGCAGCAGCAGCAGCAGCAGCAGTAGCCGCAGCGGCAGCGGCAGCGGCAGCGGCAGCGGCAGCGGCAGCAGCAACAACAACAACAGCAGCAGCAACAACAACAACAACAACAACAACACCAGCAGCAGCAACAGCAACAGCAACAACAAGAACAAGAACAAGAACAGTAACACCAACACCAACACCAACACCACACTGACTGAGGACGATGCCCACAAGCACAAGGACGAGGACGGGAGAAGGGCGGGCACGAAGAAGGCAATGGCTAGGCTTATGTCGCGGAAGTTCGTTGCGAAACGGGGCGGGGATTTTGGGGGGGTCGGTTGGCTGGGGGGGGGGGGGTGGTGTTGGTGCGTCGCTGCTGGCTGGGTTGGTGCACTTGGGCGTGGGTCTTGCGGTGACTCAGCTGGTTTGCTGCGCAATGTCGAAAGGGCAGGAGGTGTCGAAAAGGCAGGAGGCGTTAGGACTGGAATGACGGGGCATGAAAATGAATGCGAGGAGAACAAAAGGAAGCAGCTTCAGGAGCTTGCATGAATGCGTTCCCTCCAAGCAGCACATGTCGCAGGTACAACGCACGATTTTTTTGGGTGACGCGCGGTGTCATCCATCTGCTGCAACAGCTTGCTGCAAGGCTTCGGCAGCGCGCTGGCAAGATTCAGCCACGACAGGGGTGTTGAGATCCGGGAAAACTATCTCTCCTTGACCTCGCTTGCGGCTCTGTAAAATCTCCTGGTGGGTCTTGGAGTGGATGGCTTCGTCGTTGGCCAAGGTCAAAATCCGCCGGGCTGGGCGCAAATTGTCATGGCAAAGTTGGTCCGTGGGGCGCTTGGTAAACAATGCAACCCGTATCCCAGTTGCATTCGTGCTCTGCGAAACCACCCCGAAGCCCAGTAAGGACAATAGCACAACGGCGCGGAGGCCGTGGAAGTGGGCATCAGGCGTAGGCAGATTTAAGGCCAAGACCGGTTTCAGATGCGCCACATCAGTGTGGCGCATGTTTGGGGCCTTCTGGGACTGGAGGATCGCTTTGATCATGACAAGTACGTGCGACAAGGTTGCCCCAGCCAAGACCAGTGGGACCTGGCTCAATGCGAGGACACGTGCAAGTTCCTGCCGTTGGTTTGGCGGAGGGCTGGGCTGCAAACCCTGCGGGGCCAAGGGTTCCGGGGGGCGTGCAGGCAAACGATGCAGGTCCAACTTGGCAAACACATCATCCATGTACTGGCTGAATAGGACACTTGCGTCGGCAGCAGCTTTCGGAACCGTTGTTGACCAGGCGGCTGCAGGAACAGAGGCGCAGGCCTGTGCCAAGTTGTGAAGGGGCAGCGCCAGGCGAAAGTGACGCGTCTTCCACTTGCCTGCCTTTTTCGCCGCCTGTTGATCATTCTTGTATGCAGCTTCTTGCCCCCGGCCCGGTCATCAAAGTTGTCCCAAAACGCGACAGCTGCGTCTTCCGACCACCTGTAGATCAGCCATTTGTAGTTGAGGTCCGTTGTGAAACGCTCGGGCGCATGAAGCGGGTGGTGCACGCAATGGAGAGGCCAGAAGAGTTTTGCAATGTGGGCGTGCAACGTCGGGTCAGGGATTTTGGAGCATGCCTTCCGCAGCTGCACGGAGCGAACGAATCGTGGATGCTCGTACATGATGAGCAGACGCTCCCGAAGGCCAAGCGCGTCTTCCTCCCCGAGTGCGTTCATGAGCTCCTGCATGTGAACGGCGCCGCACACGCCAATGAAAGGGGCGTCGACGAGGATGGTGGTGCGGTCCTACGACACAAACACAGCAAGAACGCAAACAAAAACTTGCAAGAAACAGCAAGGTAAAAGCAGAATTAAAAAAACTGGACTGACACGCGCGCGTGCCGAATGCGCTGCCACTTTAAACCTGGCAAGAAACAGCCGGTCCTTCACAGTCACCTTGTCCCACAGAAGCCGGTCCGTGAGCTGCGTGACAAGGCCCTTATACCCAGCAGACTGCTCTGAAATCCAGCTGAGGAAAATGAGTCCTTCGGCCAAGAAGGCAGCTGCCCGGCTGAGGTTTTGTGGCTCAGCCATCCGTGAGACAACACCATCCACGCTGCCAGATGTGAAGCCCTGACGCGGCAGTGGAAACTGAAGACGTGAAGACCAGCTCTGTTATGTACACCCTCTCTTGCGCATCACCCACTGCTCCTGCAGGCTCCATGCGGTCGAGCTTCGTTCGGCCACAACGTAGAGTTCTGTCTTCATCCCAGTCGACGTATGGCGATAGAAGACCTTCCAGCCGACAAGCGACTGGCACGCCATGGCACTGTCGGAACCCAAGCGAAGCTTGAACCTCCGAACCGCTCTGGGCAGTCGATCTGGCAAAGCGCCTGTAGGCCACACAATCCCAACACATCAGTGGACTGAACTCCTTTGGACCCCCTTGAAGCATCGAAACGACACGGCAGGTGTCCTGTTGCCAACATCCGTGTGTGTTTTTTGCTGACAAATTCATGGTGCTCTCTGCCATCTTTGTTGAGGCCTCGATAGGTTGATTGAACAAATGATGAGACAGTGTGTATCTCGAACTACAGTCGCTCAACGCCATGTGTGTTCTTCCCAGAAGATGGTATACGGACCAAGTCCGTAGGGTAAGATTTCGTAGGCCCCAGGCATGGCCGCAGAGACCCATTATGATATCATATGGTATTAGAACATAATATAGGTATATGAGTCTGTATGCATCATACACAATCGTGATGAGATAGGGTGTATCTCCAACTACAGTCGCGCAACGCCATGGGTGTTCTTCCCAGAAGATGGTATACGGACCAAGTCCGTAGGGTAAGATTTCGTAGGCCCCAGGCATGGCCGCAGAGACCCCATTATGATATCATATTATGGTATTAGAACATAATATAGGTATATGAGTCTGTATGCATCATACACAATCGTGATGAGATAGGGTGTATCTCCAACTACAGTCGCGCAACGCCATGGGTGTTCTTCCCAGAAGATGGTATACGGACCAAGTCCGTAGGGTAAGATTTCGTAGGCCCCAGGCATGGCCGCAGAGACCCCATTATGATATCATATGGTATTAGAACATCATATAGGTAGATGATTCTGTATGCATCATACACAATCGTTTATTGACGTTATGTTCAGCAACTTAGCTATAGAAAAGGGGGGCCCACGTTGTATCTTTGGAAAGCCCCCCCCCCCGATCAAAACCGGAGCCACCCCCAAGGCCAAACTGCGAGGAAAGGCGTCGAGGAGAGCGGCGCAGACGCCGGTAAAGGCGCTGTTGTTGTTGTTGTTGTTGTTGTCGTTGTCGTTGTCGTTGTCGTTGTCGTTGTCGTTGTCGTTGTCGTTGTCGTTGTCGTTGTCGTTGTCGTTGTCGTTGTCGTCGTCGTCGTCGTCGTCGTTGTTGTTGTTGTTGTTGGTTGTTGTTGGTTGTTGTTGTTGTTGTTGTTGTTGTTGGTGTTGTTGTTGGTGTTGCTGTGCTGTTGCTGTTGCTGTTGCTGTTGCTGTTGCTGTTGCTGTTGCTGTTGCTGTTGCTGTTGCTGTTGCTGCTGCTGCTGTTGTTGTTGTTGTTGTTGCTGCTGCGGTTGTTGGGGTGGATGCATCAGACACAATCGTTTATTGGAGTTATGTGCAGCAACTTAGCTATGGAAAAGGGGGGCCCACGTTGTATCTTTGTAAAGCCCCCCCCGATCAAACCCGGAGCCGCCCCCTAAGGCAAAAAGGCGAGGAAAGCGTCGAGGAGAGCGGCGCAGAGGTCGGTAAAGGCGCTGTTGCTGTTGTTGTTGTTGTTTTTGTTTTTGTTGTTGTTGTTGTTGCTGTTGCTGTTGCTGTTGCTGTTGCTGTTGTTGTTGCTGCTGCTGTTGTTGTTGATGTTGACGTTGACGTTGACGTTGACGTTGACGCTGACGTTGACGCTGACGTTGACGTTGACGTTGACGTTGACGTTGTTGTTGACGTTGTTGTTGACGTTGTTGTTGACGTTGTTGTTGACGTTGTTGTTGTTGTTGTTGTTGTTGTTGGTGGTGGTGAGGAAACCCCCTCCCCCCCCCAAGAAACCCGACCCCTGTTGAATGACCCCCCCCTCCACCCCTTAGACAACCGCCTCCCCCGCCCTTTAAGAACAACATCCCCCTCCCTCCAGTCAGAATAACCCCCCCATCCCTCTATCGGGGAGATCTGTGTATGCCTGTATGCCTGTATGTCTGTATGTCTGTATGTCTGTATGTCTGTATTTCTGTATGCCTGTATGCCTGTATGTCTGTATGTCTGTATGTCTGTATGTCTGTATGTTTGTATGTCTGTATGTCTGTATGTCTGCAAGTCTGTATGTCTGTATGTCTGCGTGTCTGTAGTCTGTAAGTCTGTATGTCTGTAAGTAGGTAAGTCTGTAAGTCTGTAAGTCTGTAAGTCCGTATGTCCGTATGTCCATATGTCTGTATGTCCATATGTCTGTATGCCTGTATGCCTGTATGCCTGTATGTCTGTATGTTTGTATGTCTGTATGTCTGTATGTCTGTATGTCTGTATGTCTGTAAGTCTGTATGTCTGTATGTCTGTATGTCTGTATGTCTGTATGCCTGTATGCCTGTAAGTCTGTAAGTCTGTAAGTCTGTAAGTCTGTAAGTCTGTCTGTCTGTCTGTCTGTATGTCTGTATGTCTGTATGTCTGTATGTCTGTATGTCTGTAAGTCTGTATGTCTGTATGTCTGTATGTCTGTATGTCTGTATGCCTGTATGCCTGTAAGTCTGTAAGTCTGTAAGTCTGTAAGTCTGTAAGTCTGTAAGTCTGTCTGTCTGTCTGTCTGTATGTCTGTATGTATGTCTGTCCGTCTGTATGTATGTATGTATGCATGTATGTATGTATGTATGTGTATTTATATATATATATACACACACACACGTGTATGTGTGTATGTGTGTGTGCATATGTACACGTATACGTATATATATATATAACTGGCCATTGACTAAATGGGATGCACCCCCAAGCCCCCAAGGCCTATCCTAGTGGCAACAGCCCACACCTTCATGGCCAGGTCAGAGAGTTTCTTGTCCTTCGCGCAGGCGGCACTTCTAATTGGGTGCCCCTCTGGAAAACTTCCACGTTTCACAAGAATACTGGGCGGAAGAAAGCCAAAAGGCATCTCTCACATCATAGCCGTCATAGCCCCATGACCCCATGCCTATATTTATTGTGTATAGCTCATGGGACAAAAGTTGGGTTTGGCTTCTCTCACCCAAAGAGTTTGGCTCGGCAACCGTCCTGTGCCGCCGTGCTCGCCTTTTCTGCATGGCTTTGGCGAAGCTCTTGCCCCCGGCGTTTCTCCTGCGCCAGGAAAGGCTCATGGGGAGTGGATCCAAACAGCAGCATATGACAATGTTTGGTAAGCATTATCTAGTAGTTGTAATGTGAGATAAGCATATGATTGTTGCTAGTAGTGGATAACTGGAAGTTACTTGTTTGGTAAGCATAGTGACCCGTCGTGCCCACTCAGAAGCAACGAATCTCGAGTCTTGAGGAGTCATCAAACCTACTCATCCCCAACCTGCTTGATGCTTTGCTCCAGCTGTTTGATTTGATCCTTCAACTGTTGGACCTGCGTCAGTTCGTCGCGAACCCAAAGGCTTGCGGGGATCTGTCACTTTCATTCCCTAGCCAAAAGGCCATTGCGCGCTTGGCTCGGCTGCACTACGCCACTACGCACCTCGTTGCGAGGGTTACACAAATTACCGACCAATGGGACGTGATCATGTCCATGCGGAATTGCTTCAGCCCTGACCAAATATGATGTCACCATCATTATCAGTGGCACATACACCGCATCCCCATGCCGTGCCCACATACCCTGCCGCCTTTTGCCCCATGTCCATTTTCATGGTCTGAAAATTGTTTCGCATCTCATCCTCCTCCTGCTCTGTGGCCTTCCAGCAAGCTTCTCTTCGTGTGGGGGAGGCAAAAGCATAGATGAGTGGATCATAGCAAATCACCATCAAACAGTAGGAAACTCTCACTTCTTCTATCTCTTGTCAGGACGCTACTATAATAACTTATGACAAGGTGTAGCAACCCAAAAAAAATCAAAAAGTAAACTAACTAAACTTTTGCGAATTTAGATTCGGATTTTACCAACTCCCATCTTTTAGATTTTTGGGGGGTTGCCTTTGTCCGTATCCAGCTATAGAACCGTCATGTTTCCCCGCTCTGAAGGCCTGAGAACTTTGGATCAGGAACAAATTGAGCTCTTCGAGGTCCGTAAAGGTGTCCATCAGCTGCTGCGGCTCCTCAAAACCGCTGCCCCTTTGACCTTTAAAGGGGTCAAAGGATAATAGCAGGAAGAATCGTGGTGATGGTGATGGTGATGATGATGATGATGACGACGATGATGATGAACCAATAGCACTAAATGTTGTGCAACAATATATACATACATATATAATGACAATAAAATACATATAATAATCATAATCATAATCACAATAATAAAATTTGTGCTGGTCGCTGATCATATGGACAGGAGCATTTCATGATTTTCAAGTAGGCAAGTGAAATCGCTGCATAGGAGTTCACCTTTCAAAACTCAAGGCCTACACCTGACACCCAAACCTAGGCCCTCCCGGAAGGAATTCTTGGTCGTCCTTGAAAAAGAGTTCAGGTTCTTCTTCAGAGGACACCTCCACATACCTCGGCCATCAGACGGGGATGGGATAAATCGGATACAGGTGTACCCTCTGGTAAACATACAAAAAACTATGGAAAATCACCATTTTATAGCTGGGAAAATCCACCAGAACTGGCCATTTTCAATAGCTATGTTAAATTACCAGAGGGTAACTTACGGTGTAACGATCCCTCAAAAAGGGCCCAGCTCTGCATCGATCTTCCTCTCTTCCTCCTGGGATGCCATGGCCGTGGCGGCCGTGGCGGCCGTGGCAAATACCATGTTTGGTTGAATCTTAGTTTTAATGATGGTTTGCCATACCAAAACCACCTCTGCTTGGTTGAATCATGTTGAATCCCAGTTGTGGCCAAACTAGCACTTTCCTCGGTGACACTGAAAAAATGTCGCTTCAGAAAGCGATGCCTCCCTCTTCTTCTGGATGCGCTTCTTCCTCAGGTCCCTTTCCCGCTGCTTCTGGAGCAGCTCTTCCTAGCGTTGAAACTGGTAAAGACGGCTGCACCAATGGCTGGATTTATGGTATATTGACCTGGTCACGTAGATTGGCTCGATATGGTTTGATTGTATATAAACCATTACAAACCAACAAATATATCTGGGGTGCTCTTTCTCTAGGAATGGCAAGTTGCTAAAGATGTCAAAGTTGGTCCTCGAGAAAGTGAACAACCTCCGGAAAGTCCTCCCATCTCAGCCAGCACCCTGCTGTAAACTAAATTAGATGTGGCTTTTCCCACCATTTGTAGATCTTTTTTCCAGGAACACCATAGGTCAGTTTCCACATCTTTTCTGTTTACCCCTGGGTGATCCAAATCAGCTCACTGCTGCCAAGCGCCTCATCTTCCCGGCGCCGGGATTTCTTACTCTTCTTCCGCAAGTTTTCGGCCACCTGTACCACCAGAGGTAGCCACGACAGCCAGAGGTGGATTCCCCAGGGGATTGCCCAATTCTGGGCCAGTTTTCAGGGGGCGATTTAAAACCAATTTTTTTTGGTATGTGAAATGAAGATTTCTCCATTGCCTCATTTCTATTTGTTTGATCCTGACTTCTTTGGTGGTTCATATCCCGTTACAGTACCTCCTATTTTATTCTATCCTCATATTGCGGTCGACATTAACACGTTTCACATGATTGGCACATCCCATTCAAGAGACAAACCATGGCGAATAATGCAAAATCTGATCATAGATGGCGCCTGATCCTCTTGATGGCGACTATGGCAAACACTGTTTATATTATTCGCCAATCCCCATTCTTGATGAGAACAAAGCCATTTTATGTAGCTTGTCATAATGTAGATCCATGGCCTGCTGATCTCATGTTGCTGATCCCTTGCTGGTCCCAACAATTTCATGTTCATGGTGTTACACATGGTAAGCCATGAACTTTGTGGCACCTCAGCCTCCTCTTGCGCAAATTTCTCTGAGATCCTTTCCTCCTCCATGGCCAGTTGTTCCTAGAGTCGAAGTTCTGCGCATGGTGGATGAAAAAAAGGGGCCACACGACACACCCGAAGAATATCGAAAAGTTGTTTTTAACAAATGAAAAACTACTGTTGGAAAAGGATCTCCCCCATAGTAATCACATGTAGTCACCACAGGTGTTGGAAGTTTGTGAAGCTCGCGTAGCCAAGATACCAGGATTGGAGCGAGCCTCTCTTTCTTCCACCTGCCAGGTGATTGGTGTTCCTCAGGGACCTAGTTGGGGGTAATTACGAAAAGACCCCAGTTGGATGACTGGTTGAAACATGTTGAAATCCCCAAGTAGATTCGTTGGCGGATTTCAAGCCCTAAACCAGCTTGCCGTCTCCGACTCCGGAGACCTCTCGGCTCGGTCCTTCTTGCGCTCCTCTTTCTTCTGCTTCCTCGACACCATTTCGTCAGCTGAGGTCTGACACCAGGTGTCCGCCAAAAACATCCAAACAGCCCCGAATCATTGGCACCAAGTTGAGCCAATTATGCCACTTTGACAGCACACCCTTATGTCACACAGGTTGCATCGTTCCTGGAAAATATGAGGCAATGATGGCAATGTCATTGATCAAACCACCGCCCAGAAGTTGTGTCCGGTTTTTAAAACGCCATGTCTTGGACTGTCTTGGTGGTTCTATCCCACTCTTTGGTGCTTGGAAATCCACCTCTATGATGTATGTGGTGCGATGTGATGCAATGTACAGTATTGTCAGCCTAATAGCTAGTGCAATTTGATACCATGCAATGTGAAATGTATTATGCTCTATCATCTGATATTGCACGTTGAATTCCCAGAAGAAAATGGTAGGTTTTGATTTTCGGAAGCCTCCCCTGGGTCACCACACTGTTCTTCCTTCCACTCGGGCGGCGTCAACTTCTCCAGGAAGTGCTTCAGCCGTTCACATTCCACGCGCGCCTGGATTGATCCCCAGTCGTCACCATGGTTGTTTCACTACTAAGTTAATTACTAAGTCATCCATGACTTGGATTATTCTCGGGTACTCCCATGGATTGGAAACTTCCAAACTTCCATATGAAAATGGGATTACATGAAGCATCACAGGGTACAACATGGCAGAACCTGCCTTTTTGAATCAACTTAGAACGGTGTAGAACCTACCTGGCGAACTGCTGTGACCTAACGTCACTGCACCTCCTTCAACTTGCCCGTGTCGCTGTGCACGGCCGCGATTTGTTGTTTGAGGCTCTTGATCTTTTGCACCTTGTCCTACTTGCGGTAGTGAACGAAGAGATCTTTGCCACCAGCTGAGGTGTTCCCAAGGTAAACGTCAAACATCTAAATTTGGCCCGCGGTCCTGCTTGTTCTTAGCGTGCTTCTCGGAGTCTTTCCTTTGGGAAGATTTGGGTGTCAGAACTAGAGCAGTGAGTACAGCACTTGGAATGGTTACCAGAAAATCCAGACTTTGGAAACCAAATGTTTGAACCAAATTTGCAAGATGTGCCACCAAGCATCGTTGCATTGGATGCTTTCGAAATTCTCTCTTGGAGATAATCCTCAAACTTCTTGGCATCTTCCTCCAAAGTCTGCTGGGAAAATGCCAAGGCATCTTCCTTGGCCTTCGCCACGGCATCTAAGCGCACCTGGGACTCTGGGACCGCAAAACCATGGCGATTTCTTCCATGATGGGGAACCCCTCAGGTATTTATCCACTTGATTGTATGATGTTTAATGGGAAACCAATGACGAAATGGGTCAGCCATGGTCAGCCCAATTTCAAGAAACCGGGACCACGGTGATGGCCAAAGATCCCACCACACAACAAAATGGTGGGTTCTTAAGTCATGGGGGATTCCCTAGTCACCATGCTTGTTTCAATACTAACTCATGGTTATCCATGACTTGAATGATTTGGGGCGAACAAAAAAAACATGACATTTGCGTAACCAATGGGTCCAAGACACCGCTTCTTCCCGTTTGTTGTCGCAGGCCATGTGCACCAGAAAGACTTCCCGTTTCTTCTGGACATAAGTCCTGATGTCTTTCTCACCTGAACCAGTCGTGTCCATCCCACATCACATCGGGATGTTTTTTTTCCAGTCGTTGGCCACGTTGCCACGTCGGTTCAAAAATCCCCAAAACAATTCAATAGGGCTTCAAAAAACCGTTAACAGGGGTTGGTGGTTGTTAAGGACCCGTTGATAGGGCCTTCTCGTTTTGGAAGGATGTGTTTGGGGGCGGTTGAGAGTGTGTCCTTCGGATGTGGTTCCGAACGAAGCGACTTTTTTTTTGATTGGTTTTTCGTAAATTGCTGCCGTTGTCTCTTGCAATCCACATATGGATTTGTTTGACATTTTCGAGCACCACCTCATTTGTTCCATTCAAATAACACTTGTTGGGTAGTTAAATGTCCTATTTTTTGACAAAGCTGATCGGTATATGAGATCCCTCAGTTCTCATGGTTAAACCCAGCCCCAATTCCGTCCAATACCTTCGTTTATATAGATTCCTGGTTAAATCCTGGTTAAATCCTCATAAATTTCCAACAAGGCGGTGCCCCCCAGTTCTAAGTTGGTTTCTAAACCCCAATATATAACATTATATAACTATAGAGATCTCACATCTCAAAACCCAACAGTTCATCTACTTATAAACTAACTTAGCTAACAAACTTGTATGTATATATAATTGTTTTGTATACCATATTAAATGTTATAAACTATATCATATAGAATCATACATTTATATATATATATATATGTGTGTGTGATCTATTTTTTTACTTATCTATTATATGATGCATGGGAACCATCATACCTCACTCTTCACCACCTTGGTGCCCCGGCTCTTGTGCAACGGCTCCACTAAGCCTACGGCCGGCTTCGTGGCCACGGTCCTCGGCAATGGGGATTTCAACCAGAAAGTGGGATTTATGATGATTTATGGCTGATTTAGTGCGAAAATGCTGATTCATTATGGATTTAGTGGGATTTTGGATGGGATTTAGTGGGATTTATGGATGATTTATGGCATTGCTGTTTCTTTTGGCGCCAGACCCGGGCATCGGGAGTTGTTGTTTTTAAAAACTGTGTGCTGTGATAGGACCTGAACATGAATAATATGAATAAATCGACTGCTGCAAAGCTCTTTATTTGCAAAGGCGGGAGTGCATAGACATATCAATCTCCAAATGTATACCCATATTTTAATGCCTTTGTAGTTGCAATATTGTATACTTCCGTTTGGACGTTTGTACCTGAGGACCACAGCTATCCCAGCCCAAATTTCAGGGAGCCGCGCGTGAGGAAGGTGTTGTCAGGCCTTTCCTCTTCCATGACCTCGCACGCCGAGGTTTACGATGAAGGCTGAAAAACAACCCCCTACCAATGAACAGTATATTAGCTGGTTGGTGGTTGACCTACCCCTCTGAAAAATATGAGTTCGTCAATTGGGAGTATGAAATTCCCAATATATGGAAAAATAAAATTCATGTTCCAAACCACCAACCAGTTAGTTATGTGTACTGGTTGGTGGTGCAATGTGCCCATCTTGAAAAATGATGGAGTGAAAGTCCATGGGAAGGATGACATCCCATATATGATGGGGAAAAAAAATCATGTTTGAAACCACCAACCAGATTTGTTACGTGTATGTAATTATATGTGCATAATTGTGCATATGTATCATGCAAAAGGCTGAAGAAAGGTCTACTATCCTATCTGAACCATCCAATTTCGCAATCTCTGTGGGACTGTGACTAGAACTGGGCAACCCCCTTCAATACCACAGGCAGCCCGTCTGACCCTTGTGATTGGTCAATGTGTCTTTTACTCTGGGCGTTGTTCTTTTAGCATGAAGATTTAATAAATGCAACATTTACAAAAAACGTCCAAATCTTCAGGTTTCAAATTGTATGACACAAGACTCGATACATATGGCCCGTGAAAACTTGAACATTTCAGGGTGACCTGGGAACATACAAAAATAAAAACATACGTACCAGTAGGTTTGTCAAAAACGTCCGCACCCAAAAAAATCACAGCATACATCTATATATATATATACATTGTGTGTGCGTGCATTTATTTATCTATTTATTTGTTTATTTACTGTAATTCAATAAATCATAATTTTCCAATTTTTTCCTATCAAAAGTGCCTTTTTCATCCTTTTTCAGGGTCTATCGGTACATCATGGCCGCACCTTGGCTTTGGCGGTCTGCAGGGCCAGGTGCGTTGCCTTCGAGACGGGCCTGGGAACAACGGGCCGATCGCACAATGGGGATACCTTAGGAAGGCACACTGGGGATATCCGATGGGATATGGGAAAGAACATTGTATGGTTGTAAAATGGTAGTTCATAATTTATCATGTAACTAGTTATGATCTAATTATTGTGTTTCTCCTAATTTATGGCGAGAAACACAGCTTTTCATGACAATTCGATGGCAAAAAACAAAAAAACGGATGATCAACATGGCCAAAACCCCAAGGTATGGCCATTCAATGAACGGCGAAACTGACCTGATCTCTTAAAGCTCACAGCAGGTCATGCATGAAAACCTCTGTGTAGAAAACCTGCCAAAAATAGATTTGCATGTCATTTTAATATAAGTTTACAAAAGAAAGGATATCGATCTATATAAATATATATGTGTATTTATATGTATATATATATAAATAAATAAAATATAACATATTACAATGTGCTCATCTTAAGAGAATTTTGCAAAATTTTTGCGGTCCACCGGCACGGTCTGCGCAAAAAGGGTTCCCGCACGCCATCGGCGGCTCATCATCCTTGACTTTACGAATCTTGCCATAGCTGGACGAGCAGGTCGGCCTCGCCACGTAGAAAAATCTACCGTGTTTTGCGAGGAAAAGTCCATTTCTGCTGGTCTGTTTTTAAGTAAATTTTGATACATGAAAAATGTGGTAAATCCAAGAATGGCCAGAAGAGTGTTTCTTTTCGGAGGTTCAAGAACGAAGACAAACAGCTGGTACGAAAGTTGCACAGGATTGGGCTTACCACATTTAAATACATTTAAGACAAAACAAAATCCTGGACCCCAAACATGGTCGATTTATTGTCCTGCCAAAGGTATGTGAAAGTGTTCGATGTGGGTCCGAAAATTTCAGGAGAAACCGCAAGGTGAACCCTAAGCTGCATGGAGAGATGGATGAAGCACGCTCAGCTCCCAACTTCTCCCAGACTTTCAACTGTTTTTCCTGACCGCTGTCCGTGCTGCTCCAGTGTCACATGGAATGTCGAAGGTCGTCTTGTTACAGTCCCAAATCAAATGGGGACCGAATTTGAACAGGTTTTACGGATCTGGGCCCTGCAAACAAGAGGTCGCAACTGGGCAATTTCTTTGGGTGGTTGCTTTCCCTACAAGCGTGGCTGGCTGAAAGCAAAGTTTCCTTCAACGGTGCTATTACGTCACTCAAAGGAATCGGGGTAAATCAAAATAATCCAAACATGTTAGCATAACGTTGCTCACTCCCGCAATTCCTAGTTTTCAGTAGCTGCGTCACTTGCTGCGTCCTCCACAAGTAGGCAACACGCACACATCTGATTCCTTGGTGGGCCCCCAACATCGCCGGTGCCTGACGCCGCTCCTCTTCGGAACGTTCTGGCACAGGTTCTTGCAACCAGAAACATTCCAGTTCTTGAGGCAAGCCTCAGGTTTCAAGACTGCTTTGCCAAAAAACACCAGATGAATTGTTTGCAGAATCAGGTTCAAGGTCGGTTTGGGCATGAAATTCCCCTTATGCAACTGGCACCATTTGTTGCGTGGCAATTTTGATGATGATTGGGCGCTAAAGTTTCCATAACCTGCACACACCTACCGTATGTTTCAATGATCTTTTCGGTTGTCAGTTGTCAACATCTACCCGGCCCAGTTTGACACGCGATGACCCCAAAAATGGTGACTTCAGCCTAAAGGCCCCCCGGCTGAATGGGTTGCTATGCTCGCCGCCCTCAGTCATCACCTCGGGTTTCCAACACCACTTGGGTGTTAATCATTGGGGGCACCGTTGCAGCCACAAAATTTGCTATTGCCAAGGCTAAACCATCCGTTTTTGCTATTGTGTTGATTGCTTATATTGACCCTTGCCCATTCCTCAAGCCAATGGCGAACAAAAATCCGAAAGGCATCCGCTTTAGCGTTGATGGCACGGTCAAAAAGAAAATACCATTTTGGTCCGCGAACATGAATTGAATAATTGAGATTCCAGCTGTGGGCAGCAGTATTGGCTACACCACCATGCTAGTTAAGGTGATGCTATGCAAAAGGCATCGCTCAACGATCCTTCTGCTGAAGAACTCGCTTGGGCCATCAAATGGCACACAATAGAAAATCGATCAGAAAGAATGCTGGACGCTCTGGGCGCCCCATTGTCTAATTTAAAGTGTGTGCGGAACATTGTTTAAATTGGTCTTTGTTTTTTCAATTTCTGTTCCTTGTCCTTTTACAACCCGTACCAAGTAGCACAATAGATACCAATGCCAAGTCAACAGGAACTGGGAAAATGCAATCGTGGGCGGGTTGTCACGCAACGCATATTTTAGGAACATGGGGGAACCCAGTTTGACCTTAAAACCTGCCAAAGCATCATTTACTTGACGATATTTTTGACCTCTTCGTTTGCCCCACGGCATTATTTATATGTGTTGCCACGAACGTCATATTAAAGCAATGGCGGATCCCCTTTTTCGTGTTTATGCAACATGTGTTCCTACAAATTCCTACGCTGTGCACTTGGTGAGCCCATCTGGCGGGTCCCATCTGCCACGCGTGGAGGTTATAAATCCAGCATTTTTTTTTGTTTTCAAATTGCTCCTTTTTTTGGAGGGGCCTTGATAATTATGTGTTCTTTTGACTTGATTACTCCTTTTTGTCTCTTTCGGGCCGCAATATATGTTTCCTGACTTGATGTTTGATTGATTTGTCTTTGTTTGTTGGTTTTTTCTGTTTTCCCTTTTGGGTATCAGCATAGGGAAATTTCAATTGATATGTTATTTCGACTCTTTATTTTTGGTTTTGATTTTGATGTTGATACTGCATCAGAAGAGCTTTAGCATGAATGCAACATGTTGTTGATAATTTAAAATGAAGCATTCTTGAAAATCAAATAGACTAAAGTCTTATCTTAAATCTTAAATATGTGTTTGAATGCTAGTTGCGAGTTTGGAAGCCTAACACTGACCATGCGGTCCACACCTTTAAGGCAGAGAAATCACAAAGTATCAAATGCATCGTTCACCCTAATTTGAGACATCAAACAGGTACAGTGGCTGAAAATTGTTGGAAATGGCGAGACAATAACAGGTATTATATATCGAAGTGTGGGCAAAATTGTGGTAAACATGAACTATTAATCATGAATTGTTCATTGACCACTGATCGCCATAATCATGTCAAAAGGTTAAAGTCATGCTGATTGCACAGAAGGGTCAGGCACCTGTACGTGTGAATCGCGATGACTGAGAAAGTCACTAATTAATCACTTATACGCCATGGGGTGGAGAAGGTTTTGAAGGAGCTGTGGACTCTATATAATTCACTGCAATATGTTGACATAATACTCTCTATTTATGTATATTTACACACTTGTCCACAGTTGTGTGGGGCAGTAGTCGGTAGAGGTTCAGCGTGGCAGTAGTGAAGGTTTGCTGTGGCAGTAATCAAGCTGTCAGCGTGGCAGTAGTGAAGGTTTAGCGTGGCAGTAGACAAGCTTTCAACGTGGCAGTAGTGAAGGTTCAGCGTGGCAATAGCCAAACTTTCAGTGTGGCAGTCGTAAAGGTGCAGCATGGCAGTAGTAAAGGTGCAGCGTGGCAGTAGTACAGGTTTAGCGTGGCAGTATGTCAGTTTTTGTGTGGCAGCAGCATGTGTTCAGGAAACAATTCCTGACATTTTTTGGCCCAGACAGAGGGCCAATAACCTGATAGAAAAAACACCCAACATAAAACGTGAGCTGATGACATATCCCTGTTCTGTGGCTGCGTTTTTGAAAACCATACATCCATACGCAAAGGTCATTTCCAAATTAGGATACAAACTAGTGAGGATAGGAGCCACAGTTGTCCACATTTTGACGTTCCTGCTCTTTTTGGTCGCATGTACTTTTTTAGTTTTTCCTGAATTGAACTTGTCTGTTTGAAAGCAAAGTGCTGGGAATCTGACACTATCGAGTGCAGTCTTTACCTTTGTCATCTGACTCATTCTGGCGAGATGCGATTCATGGATTTCAGCCATCTTTAGAGTTTTCTGGGCATCAGACATGCAATGATGACATAGCAGTACTCAATTGAGCTATCCATCGTTCTCTGGGCTCTGTGTTGACGTTTCCAAATGTGATATTCTCAGGGTGGAATTCATGGGTGACCAAGAGGCCAATGGCCTGTGAGCAAACAGCCACATTGCAGTTGTTCCCGAAAAATTGTTCGAAGGTACAAAAACCATGATTTCCTATGTTCCACTTCTTTTTTGAATTGATTTTCCTTGCGATTTGACATGCCATAACTGTGTCTCGGTTGACAGACAAAGGATCATCAACGACCCACGTTCCACCACAAGCTGTGCAGGTCTATGAATTTGTGCAGCATGAGATCTGTTGCATTGAACCCTAATTTCCGTGCAGCATGAGCAAAATGTTCAGCATTCAATACAGTGGCGCATGTAGCCAAGTACGAAGATGCTCCATGATCGCCATGGCTAGGGACTGCCCCTACTTTTGAGGTGGTCATGTCGACAAGAATAGTTTCATAAATAAACGAAAGTAGAAAAGAATTGACAATCAGAATCATTGTTTTGCGCAGAGATGCAGTCTTGAACAAGATATCAACAGAAAAAGAGTTGAAAGACTATGATAGCATATGAATGGAATGAATTTAAAAAAAAATATTCTGTGCCAAAAACATGAAAGAATTCAAAACCAGAATTGTCCTTCGTTTTGTTCTCCAGGTCTCTGAAAAGGCTTGGCGTCAGTGCCTGGCAGAATTGGAAATTGTGAACTGAACTGACATTTGTGTATCCGAAGCATCAACTGTTATTGAAACAAATGAAACCGAACTTCCCACTCCAATTTAATTGTTTTTTTCCACGCACACTTTTTCTGCGCGAGGTCCAATGAGTCCCCCTTACTGTGCTTTGGGGTCGGTTGACTGTTTTTATACTGGAACTTTTATCAACTGAAGTGCTCTGTGAGCCCTCCATGTTTTAATCTAATTTGAGGTGATGTTATTGCCCTTTACAAAGCAGCACAGTGCATACGCATGGGTTGTCACATGTATCCTCTTCTTAATCAATCTTACTTTTCACCACTTATCCCTCCATAGCTCATACAAAATTCGCCAACCATTCACCGAATATTTTTTACGACTACCATACTCACCGCTGCTTGAAAAACGTCTCTTTCGCTCTCGGGCCAACCGTCGTCTAGTGCTTATTTTTGTTATTGTTTTCACTTTTTATTGCCTTTGACAATTTCGCTTTTGTAAGATTTTGTAAATGTAGTCTGTCAGGCCGCTCTCGCGGGTCACGGCCTAGGCAGGATTTGGTACATCAAAGATAATATTGTCAGTTATGAACGTTTTCACAAAAAATTGGGGCACTCCAAGTTATTCCCAAACCCGGTATTACTTTAACATTTAGCTAATTTTAACGGCCGCCCATGTAATGAATAGGTTGCCCACGATCGGTTGTGAAAGTTTTTGACAATCATCAATCATCAATCATCAATCATCAATCATCAATCATCAACCATCAAACATCAACCATCAATCATCAATCATCAATCATCAATCATCAACCATCAGCCATCAACCATCAATCATCAATCATCAATCATCAATCATCAATCCTCAATCATCAATCATCAATCATCAATCATCAACCATCAACCATCAACCACCAACCATCAATCACCAACCATCAGTTTTTTTCCCACCTTATTCTGCAGCGTGTTTCACTGAAAGACAGGTTCCGCGCCCACTCACAAAAAAATCCAAAAGCCAAAAAGGGAAGTCCACACAGGAAATCCAAAGTTGGGCTGGCTATGGGCCCGGTAAGCGACTTGGAGTTGTTGAAGCTTCTGGGTGTTGGGCTAAGAGCTGCCCCAAGGGAGGAAGATCCTCTTCGCCTGTGATTGCACTTGAAGGAGGCATTGAAAGCAGGGAAGCTGCGTAGGCATGCATGGCGGCATGCGTGAGAGAAGCGCTCCAGCGAGCAATGAGGGCTGGCACCTCCCCATGCCCTGCAGCTCTGGGTAAACCTATTCCTTGGTTTTTGCCTTGCTTCGTGTAAAGCTGCTCCTGCATATCGTCCTCGTCGGCGCGGTTGGCCCGTACTTGTTAAGGGAGCAACAAGTGTTGTGTCAACTGCTAGCTCTGCCCCGTTCCACAGCGGGAGGCGGTTTGCAATGACCTCTATACGCCTTTCGTCAAGTCGGCATGGTGCGGGAATGTTGAGGTCGGTGATCCCGGTGCGCATTGTGACCATCAATCCTCAATCACCAATCATCAATCATCAATCATCAGTCATCATGCAGTCATCAATCAATCATTAACCATCACGGGGCCAACCAAGATGCTGTTTGCACCTGTTCAAGGGCGAGGCGTAGGAAGAAGGACCAGGAAGGAGGAAGAGAAAAGAGGGAAGTCTAATAAAATCTGGGTCCTCACCTGGCACGTGGGGAAACATGCGCAGAAAAAAATACAAAAATAAATTGCCACTTAATGTTAGCATATGTGAATATGCCTGAAAGTGTGCCAGCATAGATGCCAGAATACTTGCCTGATAACATGGCAGCAAAAAATGTCACATAAAAAGTCTATGAATCCCCGTTCAGATTAGGGGGAGGGGTCGCACCCGGTTTCTTCTAAGCATAAACCAGTGGGATTTTGAAAAACCTTAAAAGAAGAATCTGTTTTTGGGAATTTTGGCCCTTACAAAAAACATAGGTTTTAACACCCACATTCGACTTTAAAATCCCATATAATTTTGTAAGGTGACAATTTTTTCCATCACATGAATGTTGCATCCCACCCGATGACCTCTTTATAAGAAGTTGTGATTTCAGCTAGCATTTTCGGGCATCATTTTGTAAGGCAACAACTTCTGGTTCCCAGTTTCTGTTTTTCCCGGACTCGTTGATTTTCAAACAGTTTTTTTGTAAGGATTCCTTTTCTTTGCCACCTTTTATGTTGTTCTATATTTTTGTACTTTCGTTTTTGTTGGTTTCATTGCCTGCCAGACCTCCTCTCATGATGTCTTTTTGCCTACAGATCTGAACAATAATCTGTATCAATGCCTAAAAAACATATATTGCACACCTTGCTGAATTTTTTTGGGTTTCTTTGATATTCAACAACAGAATTTTCAGCTTACAAAAAGCCTCAAAACAACAAATTCGATGGTCTTATAAAATGAGTTGGCCCCTCAAAACTCCTACGAAATCAACACTTCAAAATGTACAATTTTGCCTTTTAGGTTCCCTCTTACAAAATGCCTTGGTTAGGGGGCTCATTGTAACTACAAAATGGCTATATATAAGCTATTTATAAGAGGGTCGACCCCTTCCAAAATATAAGGGAAATTTGGACGGGGGTATCCATGATTTTTTTGAAAATGAATGAAAATGATATGTCAAAAACTATGTCAGACAAAAGAGTCAAAGTCAAGATCCCTAAAAATGAACTATCTTGTTGCGATCTCACTGGCCACTGCCGGACCTCAACTGCGAGTTCCAGATCTCAGCGGCCACAGCCGGACCTCAACTGCGAGTTCCAGATCTCAGCGGCCACTTCCGGAGCTCAACTGCGACCTCCAGATCTCAGTGGGCACTAGCGGACAACAACCGCGAACTCCAGATCGGGTTTTCACTTGCGCACTCGATATTTCACTCGCTTGCGTATTTCACTCACTTGCGCGTTTCCTGCATCAAAAAAACATCCCTTGCGTCCGTAATGGAAATCAACCCACCCCTGCTGCAAATTGCCGTCATAGATATCAATCCGACCACCATAATGTATCATTTTTTTTTGCAAACGAATCAATTCAGCCCCCCTGGAACAAGTACACGCATAGGTTTCAAAGCAGCCACCCCCTGGAACAACTAGACCTACACCCTACACCTATCAAACCCACAGCCGTGGAACAATTGCAGTGGTATCAGTGATAGGTGTCAGAACAACAACGGTTCGTGGAACGACTACATTGATATCACCCCCATTGGAAATCCAACACCCCCCTGGACAATTATATTCCCGTTTTTAGAATTAGAACTTTCAAAACTGACTCCTCTGCGACCTTGCCAGGGTTCAACACATACAAATGTTGACTCACACACTAAAAAATGATCCGAACTAACTTCCAGTCTTTGACATGCACAAACAATGTCGCCAAGGCAGGCGAACATAGACAAATAAAATGTCACCTCGACAATGCGCGTTTTCCATGACAAAGACTAGATTGAAGAGAAAAAACGAATACTTCCCAACAGCCTGAAATTGATTCCAAATTCCGGACAAAACATGCTCAAATTGATGGCCCTACACGTGCGTTATATGGAACATCATGAAGCTGAAAATCTCATCGCCGTGCGGTTCTTCGGTAGTCGCCTGTTCCTCAGCGACTAAGCGAAGTTGTGCTACCCAGATTGGCGTCTTCTGAATCTCACCTCCGACTGTTGCAGTTGTCCTTGCTCTTATTTCGGATGAAAACCAGCCTGAACTCATGCCAGGGGAGGAGACTAAACAACTTTGATGAGTAGCAAGCAGTTGGTGGCAAGGTTGCTTGTTCAGTTTCAGTCGCCTGCACAAGTTGTCGCGCATGCAACATCACAGTGGGCCAATTTCATTGGGCCAAGAATTGCAACGCGCATTGGAGACGAAACTAGACCCTCGTAAAGACGTTGCGCACCATCCCCCCTCAATGTCCAAAGTATGAGTTGTTGTTTGTTGAATGTTTTTTCTGCACAGTTTTATCACAGCATGGACATTGAGGGAAACGGGGTCTAGGTATCGTTGCTATCATTATTCAATTTGTTTTGTTTGGTGTGTGTATGTGTGTGTGTGTGCCAATTTCCATGGTTATTTCCGTTTGGTCTCATTCGGAAACATTTATACCTCCTTTGCCTTTAATGGGCGACCTTTTTTTTGCAGACACAAAAAACATTCATTCTTTCAGCCTTTTTTCAGGGGGGTCCCATAATTTGAGATACCCCAATAGCTGGATGGTTCATAATGGAAAATCCCAATCTAAAATTGATGATTTGAGGGTACCATGTTGGGAAACCTCCATTTCTTTGTTCGGAAATTGCTTGGGATCATCGTTGTGCCTGAAACCGCCTTCTCGCAACACAAAAATATTGCTTGGTTCGTGCCACTGGATCTCTTCGGGGCCCTCACCTTGGAATGGTTACCCGGCCTGGTTATGACTAACAGTTTGCTATTGAAAATGACCATAGAAATAGTGGATTTTCCAATTGAAAATGGTGGTTTTCCATAGCAAACTGTAAACGTTTACCAGAGGGTATCGAACATTGAAAGTGCCTCTCTACGAGGATGTGCTGGAAAACGTGGTGATTTCAACATTCTGCACGTCGGAAAGCGAACGTCGGAAGGAACAAAATCGCAACATGGAAGATATGGATTTTGGTTGTGGAGAGCCCTGTTGTGGAGAGCCCTATCTGGGTTTTGGACGGCGTATGGCTGTTTCTCGATTGTTGGGGTGCATTTGTTGCCGCGCTTCAAAAGGTAGGGTGGTTGCTCAAGGCAAGACAACTACCAAACACGAGCAACTCTTGTAACGCCACACGGATTGAACATTAGTGTGTTTCACGCAGTCGAAGACATCGAAGTTTTAGGTGCATGTTGACAGTGCTTGGGTCTGCTGGTCAACACATGTTCGGCATTCAGTACCATATGCCATGTGCAACAAGCAAACCAAGCATTTTGTGCAAATCGTTGGATCTTGGTTCCCGCCGGGAAACCATCACTTTTTGCCCGCTTGCACTACCTGATCATGTTTGGCGCACGATTCATAATCAGCCATGGTGTTGTGATGTTTGACATGGTTGCACGTTTTAAGTGCCTCTCTCCCGTGGGAGATGGGTTGGGGGGTGTGGCGCAATAACGTTCACTCACACATGCACACATCATTGTGCCACACTTGCGGCGTCCTTCCGGAGTATCCAGTGGGTGGAGGTACACATCATGGGGGCAGGGGGTTGGGATGTGGCCAAGACATCAATCGTTTTAGCACCACAAAGTGGCCCCAATGTGTCGCAGTTCGAATATGTCTGCGAGCTAGTCTTCCCGGAAGGGATCTTAATGGACGATTCCGAGGAGGAACCACGCAAGGATAGACTCGATAGGCCTTGTGAAAAAGGACATGTCAAGAGGAAGTAGTCCATGTTCTTTTGTTTTCGAAAATTTGGGGACACTCCGCAGTGCCTTCGGACGCTATTCTCCACTATGCACCGAGTTTTCTGCGCAACTTGGCTGACACCAGCGGTTGGAACCGCGACGACGTTTCGCCGCTCGCCACGACGTTTCGCTTCGATTTTTAGTCTTGGCGCACGTCACGTCACGTCCACGCGCAAAGGGCAGCAGCTTGGCAGCTCTTTTTTTTTTCAATCAAAGCTTCGCGCGGGCAAATCGATGTAGTCATCTTTCACCAGTCTGCAGATGGCAAAAGGGACGATGCAAGAAAAGCGCGCCGCCTCAGCGATGGGTGAGAGGTTGGTAAATCATATGACAGCCCACCCCTTGAGAGGCTTTCTCTAATGTGTCTTTACTAGTAAGAAAAAGTTGGATTAGACTCCCAGTCTGTGGCTTGCTTTAAGGTTTTCCATAGCATCGTTTGCATGCTAGATAGACCAAACCTTCTGAGGATCAGCATTGAAATAGGCATCATTGTGATGTACAGTTGTGCTGGTTACCAACTACATGACCATTCATCTTCCACCTGTTTCCACCAACCCTTCCACCAGTGATTTTCCACCTGGGAGCCCCAACCCATGCCAAAGATATGCAGTTTGCAAGCATCATCGCAGCAGAAGCCGGCACGCTACCATACCCATCCTGCCAGCATTCCATGCAAACCGTCAAAGAATCTACCCTCTGGTGTCATCAAACATGGCTTGCTGGAAAATTCCCGTAAATTAGTTGCATCATGTTCCCATTTTGCCCAGTTACACTGGATTGACCAGCAATTGTCCCATTTTCACGCCCACTTCAAATGGAATTCCAAGTAGGCCATGTTTGACGAGGGCCTCAGCCTGGGTAAGCGTAGCCTCGCCTCCCAATACCACTCTGATTCGATGACCAGTTCTTCGAGTCTCCAGAGAACTTCAAGTACCGTGGTGCCTCGAGTAGGCTGGGCGGAACTCGAGTCTTGGAGAAATTTAGGACAAGAAAAGATATGTTACCATTTGGTTATGACTAACATAGCCATGGTATAGATGGCCCATAGAAATAGATGGTGTACCGAACTTAAAAATGGTGGATTTTCCATGGCAAACCGTTAAATAACCAGAGGGTAGTTAGAAAAGTTGAATTTAACCCAGGTTGAAATTAAATGATGTCCCAACTATTCTCAGAATCATTGGGTTAATTTAAAGGACAATGTTACGCAATTAGAATTAATTAGAGGTTTTCCACCCCACACAAAGCCTATCATTTTCTCTTGAACCAATTCTGGATTGAGAACTTTGCTGAAAGACACAGATTTTACTTCTACCTCTGCAGTTTTGGCCTAATATGTCATGAATAGAATGTTTCCCCATCCGCTCTTTGTCATTCCTTCAAAAGGTCAGTTTCTTGTTGCTAATTACCAAATTGGTGACACATGAAAGTACAAATGGTTCCAAAATAACTCAAGTTCTTCTTGGTTTGATGCGGGTTTGTCCCAAAAAAATGGCAAACCGCAGATATAGATGGATTGATTTCATCTTTCCCCCTATATCAAAACTGGAAAATCCCTCCCGGTTTGAGGCAAACTCAAAGATATCCAAATATCCTATTGCTTGCTATATATATATATCCCATCATCACATTTCCATAAAAAATATCAGCATATGTTGCTAGCATGAAATCCCCGCCTATATTCCCCTATCATACTGTCGGTTGTACACTCCAGTAGATCCGCCATAGGCAATTTCCACCTCGGTCTCTGCAACTCCCCCTGTTACATCACCATTCTTGGCAAATGAATCCCCCGTAAGACCTCTATTTTCGATGGTTAAACCGTTTAGTTAAAGCCTTACTTATTATTTCTTGGCTTTACACCCAACTATTGCTGAATCCTCATTTTTTCTGCTTAAACCTACTGTACCATTCAAGCTGCATTTTTTCGTAAATCCCCGATGGTATCACAAAAATATTGATGGTTAAATTCCCATCATATCCCCATGATACCGCCATGTTTGCGAAGTCACCATGTTTCACCGTGTCCCAATCATCAAATCCCCATTGAATCAACAAATGTCCATGGGATTTTCCTGGGATTGAAGTCATAAATCATTGGGGATTTACCATGATTTACCCGGCCTGGTAATTTGTAACATAGCTATTGAAAATGGCACCTTTATAGTTGATTTACCTATTAAGGATGGTGATTTTCTACAGCTATGTTAGTTTACCATGATTTACCATGATTTACCATTGATGTGTTGCGGCCGGTCACCCCATGAGTCAATCCCCAGGAACTCCCCAGTAAACCGCCTGCTAACGCTCCAGCAACCCCCCAGACCAGCTGAACCGTTGCCTCGCGACCAAAGCTGGAGGTTGAGTAACAAAATGTGGTGCTGATGGACTAAACATGCGGCTCTATCTATCTATCTAATCTAATCTAATCTAATCTAATCTAATCTATCTATCTATCTAATCTAATCTAATCTAATCTAATCTATCTATCTATCTATCATTCTATCTATCTATCTATCTATCTATCTTATCGTATCTATCTTATCTATCTTATCTTATCTTATCTAATCTAATCTAATCTAATCTATCTATCTAATCTAATCTAATCTAATCTAATCTAATCCTATCTATCTATCTATCTATCTATCTATCTATCTATCTATCTATATGCTGCTACATATATATATACACATACATAATAACATAACACAACACGACATAACGGAACGTAGCCAATAAAAAATGGGTCGCTCACCCAAAAATGTGCGTACCAGGATTCCTATACAAGATAATAATATGAACACAAACTGATGGGGACAATTTCACTGAGCAGCACTGCAAAAACCCACCTCCCTTCGGTCCCTTCACCTTTCCTGAAGGGTGTATACACCGGAGAAATGCCGCATGGCTGACCATCCTGGTCACCATTCCCCTCTAACACATTGATATCACAGCAATAACCATGTCAACTCATCTCAGAGCGAAGCCGCCAACAAAAAAAAAAGCACAACAACCGTGACGCTCCGTGACGGTCCTGCAGAGAGCAACACCGTGGTCCAAAGATTTCTCAGATCACGTTTAATCGGCAGGCTGGGCGTGTCTCGTTCCCTGCGCCCGTGTCAACAACGCCACATACGACGTGCACATGTGACGACTACACAGATTCTGTTCAGAACGGCGGGACTCCATTGCACCAAGAAGTTTACTTCGAAAAGCAACCATTCCCCAGTGAAAAAGTGTCACATGCCGAAAATAGGTAGGTCGCCAACCAACGGCAAGAAATGTTGGAGAAAACCGAGCGAAACTACGTGGATTTCGCGGTCTGGGCTCCTCCTGGATTGAAGCTCCAATGCATCTGGACCTCTGCAAGCGAAGTGACTCTGACTGGCCTTAAAATTCTAAGTTGTCACAGGAATATGATATGAAATGATGAAATCTATGTTGAATGAAAATGTCATAGTAATTTGTCGATGGATTTTTTGAAACAAAAATTAACAGGACACCATTGTTTTTTAAACCACAAAATAGAAACCAATTCTGGGAAAATGGCCATCCTCCAACTCACACTTTGACCCTGAGAATCACCAGTTTTCAAGTTGGAAAGACTTGTCCTCCAACTCCCAACTCATGGCAGAGGCATCAGATTAGTTGGGAAATGTCTGTTAAAAATGGAAAAAAATGCCAAAAGGGTTATATCTCAGTAAAATTCCAAAATGTTGCTGGTTGAATCCCTATTTTTCTTGGTAAAATCCCCAATTTTTCCAATCACCAAACAGTTCACATCTCCAGTGCTGTGGCGCTACGTTGTTTCGCCACCAGCCGCGCTCCCTTTCGCAGAAGGTCGTGAGTTTCTCCACTCAGGAGGTACGCCTTTTTTTCGCTTCACCCATGGATTGGTCCATGGGAAGTTCGATGGGAAATCTACAGGAAACCACGGTTTTGAACATCATATCAATGGATTGGTTTAAGGGAAAATTTACAGGAAACCCATGGTTTTTACCATTAAATATGAGGTTTTCCTGTAATTTTTCCCCTAAACCAATCCATTGATCATAGTTTCAGTATGTTTTTGTAAATCGACCCATCATTCAAGTTTGGGAGAAATATGGAGAAATCGTAAAATGATGTACATGAAAATTTCATGGTTCACAATTAAAGTGCCATAAATCGGGGTACCCCGTTTTCAGACAAACCCAAATGTTACAGGAAAAACCAGGGATAAGTTTGCAGCATTGTATTTGTACGCGCTGAAGCCATTTTGTTTGCCCAAACATTTACAAAACGTTCATGTATCTTAACATCCATATCATGACATGTTGCTCAGCAAAACATGATCATACATTTTCCATCTACATCATACCAAACCAATTCCAATATGAAAACATGGAAACTATAAACCGATTAGATAAATATCATAACATGAGGGATATGTGTTCTGCCTGTTCTGCTTTCAGAACCACCTAACGAATCATCTTGTTCAACACATATCTTACTATAACGACCGAAGCATGCTGATCCGCATCACATGATCATCTACACTGAAGCATATCTTGAATAACAATCAAAGCATGTAAATATGCATCACATTATCATCTAAGTTGAAATATTGATCATCATGCTTGGCCGTCCCGCAGTACAATAAAATAGCAGTTCAACAGGGTATGAGGGCGTAGCAGCTCCTCTTGGACTGGCACACGCCAGCCGAGCGAAACCCACTCACTCGCTGTGCTGTGGTTTTGTGCAGAGAGGTGCAGTGGGTGACCGGAAAAACACACAATGGAAAAAAGTACTGGCTACTAGACCAAATAAACTGCATGATTATAAGCTTACCATCTTCCCCCTGACCTTTGAAAGATACATATCATTGCCATTTAGGGTGGGGGGAGGTATCCTGATGGCTTCTCATCATTACATGCCAGATTTTTCCCCATGACCTTTGAAAGATACATATCATTACCATTTAGGTGGGGGGGTTGCAGGGAGTATCCTAATGGGTCCTCATCATTGCATGATGATGAAAAAGATGATGGTGAAAATGATGATGATGATGATGATGATGATGATTGTGGTGATGAAGATGGTGATGAAGATGGTGATGGTGATGGTGATGGTGATGGTGATTATGGTGATGATGATGATGCTGATGATGATGATGGTGGTGGTGATGATGATGATGGTGGTGATGATGATGATGATTGTGGTGATGAAGATGGTGATTATGGTGATTATGGTGATGATGATGATGATGATGATGATGGTGGTGATGAAGATGGTGATTATGGTGATTATGGTGATGATGATGATGATGATGATGGTGGTGATGATGATGATGATGATGATGATGATGGTGACCATGATGATGATGATGATGATGATGATGATGATGATGATGATGATTGTGGTGATGAAGATGGTGATGAAGATGGTGATGGTGATGGTGATGGTGATTATGGTGGTGATGATGATGATGAGTCCGGGCAAACGATGGCGTCGGACCGTATTTGTAGTATGTGTGTGTGTGTGTCTGTCTGTCTGTCTGTCTGTCTGTCTGTCTTGTTCATCAAATTTCTTGCGTTATCCCGACATTTTCCTTCATCCAATTCTGTGAACTAACCACAAGCTAACCAACAGATCTGGCATCTTTAACGGAACAGGGCTGAGGCATCACCCAAAACAAGGTGAGGATGTCCACTAGACGCAACCAATGCCCGGAATGTTGCAGGTGTTCAAGTTTAAGCAAATACCAAATTCATGGCTAATCTTAGACATACTGAAAAATAAAAGAACACTTATATCTTGAGCTGATTAATACTACAAATTATAAATTTGTCCTTCATATGTTGCGCCCAAAATTGAACCATCAACCGACAGGGGTGGTGAAATGTCCAAGACTGAACATCACTCAAGCATCATGGGTCAATCAAACACCAAGTGCCAGGAAAACTCCCATGAAACACGCCTTCAGTGGCCATGCCGTGTCTTCCTTTCGCTTCAGACCTGGGTGGCCACACAGATCTGCACAGAAAAATTGGGCGGTTGGATAGGAAAATCAAGAGGAAAACACGGTTTCATTTGGGGGGTTCCATAAATGGAGGTACCCCAAAATGGATGGTTTATAATGGAAAAATCCTATTAAAATAGATGATTTAGGGGTAACCCCCATTTCAGGAAAACTCCATTTGACTTTTTTTATGGGGTAAATAGTTAAATCATGCCAAATCCTTCTATTTCGTGGTCAAAAATTCCATTGTATCCAGATCTTCGCATCAAAAATAGTGATACATGACATGGTAATCTTTTTGTTATGGGGATCTTAGCACGAATATATAATTACAAATAATTCCCTACAAAAATTGGATTACCAATAATTACTAATAATTGCATTACCAATAATAATTATCAGTTATAGTGATACAGTGATACATGGTTGAAATTACCAATAATTGTTATTTCAATGGTGGGCTGATCAAGAAAGGTGGGTATCTATATAAGCAGCAAAATCACGATAACTTATGGGCGGTTTAACCATCAACAAACGGTGGTGTAAACCGACTATGGGTGCTTCCTCTAGATATCAAGCACCATGAGTGCTTCGCCAAAATGCTTTGTTGATTCGTGCAATTCTGGGGATATATTTACGACGGTTATATCCCCGTCATCTCCATCTTCATATTCCTCCTGTAAATCCTCTACATTCCCTCAATCATTAGTATCCCATTCATAGCCTATGAAAATCCAATGGATTAGATGGGCATCATCCCCACTCAAATGGCCAGAGAAAACGGGTATACCCAATATGAATATGGTCATTGTATCTCTACTTTTTGTCTACGAAGCCATCTTCATCCGGTCCCCCTCTGCACCTGGCTGGGAGAGGTACTGGCACACCTGAGACAGGACCATATGAGGCTTCCCCAGCTGGGAAATTTTGCCGAAAAAAATGGGATTTCATCATAAAAATGATAATACCAATGTAAACCATGGAAGAATAGTAATTTCACCATGAAAACCAGGAAAAAGTTACCCTCTGGTAATTTAACAGTTTGCTATTGAAAATGGCCATTTATAGTGAGTTTTCCCATAAAAAATGGTGATTTTCCATAGTTTTTTGTATGTTTACCAGAGGGTACCCCCCAAGAAACATGTTGACCCTCAAAATCGTCTTCCCGCAGCCGACTCATGGCAGGGTCGTCGGATCAAACCCGGTTTTTTCGCAGCTCCCGATGTGCGGCTTGCGACTGACCTCCTTTAATCCCAAAAATCCCATGGATATTTAAAGAATCCCATGAAATTCCTATTTTTTCCCATGGAAACCGAGTGAAAAACACCACTGATTCATTGAGAAAAGATCCCTCCTCATGTGAGTCAAAACCCTGGTACTCAAACGCTACCCAAGAAAATAGTTGGTGGATATTGATTCCCCCCATATGTTAAATTCATAGGTAACTTGACCGCCATCCCCATATCTTTGTTGAGTGTCATCATCTTCTTGGCGAATGATTTACTGTACCTCGGATTACTTGGTCTTCAAAGTTGTGGAAAAAAAACATCAAAAAGCTGTACTCCGATTACTTAGTAGTTGATTACTGTTGATTGTTTCATTGTAATCAACTACTAAGTAATTACTACTGTTAATTGGTAGTTTCTTGATTACTGTTGATTGAAACTATATACTAATTATATACTGTTCATTGATTACACTGAATTGGGACTGGCCTCCCATCGCTCCGAATGCTGGCTCTGCTCGTGCCTCAGGACATGCTGCCGCCGCATTGCTTGGAGTGCGCAGCCTGGCAGTTCTGTTTAGGATTTGGAAGATCCTAATGGCTTAAGAATGGCTTAATAATGGCGAACAAAGGTTAATAGTCGCTTAACAATGGTTCGTCATGGATGGTTAATAATGGCTAATAATGACTACTGTAATAAAAAATGGTTGATAATGGCTAGTAATGGTGCATAATGGTGCATAAGGAGATATATAATGGGATATTTATGGATCAGTGGAGTATCCTCTGGCAATTCAAACGTGGCTGGCTGGGAAATGCCCCAACTCAATGGGAAAATATGGGAAAATCAAAGGAAAACATGAGAAATCCCCAAACGAGCCATGGAGGTCTAGAGCTGGGAAAATAATCTATAAATAGGGGGTTTTCCAGCCAGCCATGTTTGATTGCCGGAGGGTATCTACTTGAAAACCCTTGAAAATGTGATCTCTTACCATCCATAGTTAGTTGATCGGCTATATGACAAGATGGTCGGGATTTTGTTTTTAGATTATTTTAGTGAAATGTTTAAGTGACAAAATGCAAAAAGATATAGCTCTGTCGAAAGGTTGAGTTGGATGGACTCAGAAAGTGCTTGGATTTTTTGGTTCAAGCAAATATGTACACTAGGGTCTAAAAAAAAAAGCATGTCAATAATTCTTCAGCAACCAATCATTGGTAAATGGGATTTCGCCGGCTCGCTTTGGCGATGTTCAGACAAGATCTGGATTGGCTTGGCCTCACATTTTACACCCCGACTCAGGTTGAATTAGTTTACAACTATATCAATCAACTATGGTTTCTATATATAGGAATCCCATGGTATCATCCCCAAATGGCCTATGACTGGTGAAGTTGCAACTGAGGTTGGAACAGTTGCAGAAGCAGCGTGGCCCGCACTTCTTCTCCTAGTTTTTGAAAAACCCCATCCAAGATGGCCTTGAAAATTGGATGAAAATTAGACTCGAACATCCAAAATTAGTGATGACTTCCAACCAAAACCAGCCCAAACCAGCCCACATCCAAGTTTTTCTTGGTGATGACATCCCCGAGAGCTGGAGTGATGATTTCATCAGAAGCTATGCATGTATGTGTATATATATAATCATAGATATATAATCATATATATAATCATATATATAATCATATATATATACCCATTCCTCAAAAGTGTTCTTATCAGAGCACGTCCGGCCTATTTGTTTTTTCACCTGGGGAACAAGGGTTCTCTTCAACGTATCTATAAATATCGCCCAAGTCTATCTTGGGAATACCATCCTCAAAAAGCAAGGTCGGGTAAGTCGGGTATGGATCAAAACCCAGGTGCCCTGTTCTGAAATCATCAAAATAGTTTCTACTTGTCATATCTTCTGGACCAGTTTTTTCTCAGCTCCAAATTGATGAGGCAAAGATTCATCGTCACTGTAAGATCAATAAGGCCAAGCAATGCAGGAGTCAACCCTCTGGTCGAAATGCTAGGTGCAATTCCACTTAATAAGTGGGTGTATAGCCATAGTTACAGAGGTTGTATGGGTCAAATCACCACGGTGAGTATGTCCCCTACAGCCCTACAGGGGCTTACCCCATCTATAAATGGCCGCATGGCATGGCCCTGGGAAACCTCGCTCCTTGTGCACCAGATTGCCAGGGTGCCCCCTTCGCCTTGATCACACCCTTCAACACCCAGGGCGCCACTGGACGCTCCTGGGAGGGGGAATTCACCGGAAATTTGAGCTTTTCTAATGGAAAAAAGGTGGGGGGTCCTCCAAATAATTGATGAATGGCCAAAACATCCATGGCAATCAATGGGGCCAAAACTCTGAATGGGAAACGGACCATCCCGGAACGTGTTTCTGGGATTTTGACCATGTTTTTGGCGAAAACCATTGGCATAATGGATCACAAAAATCCAAAAACGCTGGACCCGGTCCATCTCCAGGCCATCCATTTCCCAAAATGTCGCCTGAGAAAATTACGCAAAAAATCCATGGCAAACGGAGAATCAGAGTTTCAAAATCCCAAGCTAGTTATTATGTATCTATAGTTATACAGTATAACTAACAGATACTAACTTAGTTAACCTCCCCTTTTTTTTCCCAACAGTGCCATTTATTTTGGCTCAACTAGATCATCCCAAAGCCCCAGCGGTTCCACCTCGGGTGGACATTCGGCCACCACATCCAAAATGATCTGCGCAGCCAGCGACCGGTGGGACTCTGTGCTGCCCCCCGGCGCGCGGGACTCGTCTTTGGAGTCCTGGACCGGTCACGAAAATGAGAAGGTCACGAAAATGAGAAGGTCGAAATTGAGGTTTGAAGTCAAACTGGGGACCTAAGCATGGAAAAAATATGAAAAAATTCTGGATTAGATGAAGATTCAACAAGTTGATGAAGATTCATCCATTTTTGCACGCCTCGGCCTAGGGCCCGAAGTTTCATTCTGCAGGCGAATCATCCACGTACAGCGGGTACTCAATTCAGAAGCCATCGATTTCATCAGATTTCCCTGGAAAACTCTAAAGCTCCACTCCCTGAGCACCTTGTAGAACGCATCGAAAAGTAAAGGTTCGATAGCCAGAAGCGGTGAACCTGCAAAAATGTTGGGGCATCAGAAAAGTCCATGAAACGGCCTTCAAAATGTATGAGGCCAGAAGTCTAGCCAGCTTGAAAGAGCCAACAAAAAAAAATGCCGAAACATCTGCATCACACAGTATTCATTCCTGTCTCTCTCAAACTTCTATGTCAGTGAATCAATCAAGAATTCCCTCTGATTTTCTCGATTTGGGCCCGTCTGAATGGCAACTTCAGTGAAGATGATGATTAACTAATTGAGCATCAAATTGTGGGGTGTTCCAACACTTTCAGACCGGCACAAATATCATATCATATCAAGTTCGGTATATATCCGAAAACCCCATTATATCCCCAGTATATCCCATTTAATTTGAAGGACAACAAGAAAAACAATTCCCACCTGGTGCTGCTGGAACGCCCAAGGGAGCCAAGCTTTGGGCTGCCAAGCGCCTGTGTGTTGACACGGATGAGTATGCTGGTGATGCTGACACCTTTTGACCATAAGACGATGATGGCGCGGACGATGAAGATGATGAGGACAAGGAGGACGATAATAAGGACGATGAGGACGATGAGGACAAAAAGATCATGACGATGACGATCATGATAAACATGATGACCATGATCATGATCATGATCATGATCATGATGATGATGATCATGATCATGATCATCATGATGATGATGATGATGATGTGGATGTGGATGTGGATGTGGATGTGGATGATGACGATGATGTGGAGGAGGAAGAGTAGGAGAAGAAGGAGGAGGAGGAGGATGGTGATCAGGACAATGACATTGACTATGATGATCACGATTATCATGATGATTATCATGATTGATGATGATGATGATGATGATGACGATGACGATGACGATGGCGATGATCATGATGATGATGATGATGACGATGACGATGGCGATGATCATGATGATTATGATGATTATGATGATTATGATGATGATGATCATGTTAATCATGATGATGATGAGGAGGAGGAGGAGAATGATGAGAATGATTAGAATGATGAGAATGATTATAATGATAATAACGATGACAAGGACGATGGTGGTTTTGATCATGATGTCAATGATCATGATGATCATGATGATCATGGTGATCATGATGATGATGATCATGATGATGATGATCATGATGATCATGGTGATCATGATGATGATGATCATGATGACGATGATGATGATGATGGTAATGATCATGATCGAAGGAAGTTTAGAAGTCAAACTTCCGACAATATGGACAGATGAAAAGCAGAGTAGGGGAGAGGCAGAGAGAAGAGGAAGATTAGAAGAGAGAAGATGAGAAGAGAAAGAGTCAGAAGAAAGAAGATACAGATGCGCAAAAAGGTAGGAAAGTCGCGAAACACTGTGTTTTTCCAATGATTTGTGGCTCAGGAGGGTCGAAAAGTAGGCTCGCTAAAGCAGCGGGTGCGGAGCCAGCTGGTCACAGGAGCGATGAAAAATTGCACGCCGTTGTGGCGCGAAGCACATTTCCAAGTCAAAAGGTACAAAGCACCTCGGCGCCGGACGACTTTTGGAAGTTGCGATGTCGAAAAAGTGCACGCCGTTGTGGTGCGAAGCACATTTCCAAGTCAAAATGTACAAAACACCTCAGCGTCGGACGACTTTTGGAAGTTGCGATGTCGAAAAAGTGCACGCCGTTGTGGCGCGAAGCACATTTCCAAGTCAAAATGTACAAAACACCTCAGCTCCGGACCACTTTTGGAAGTTGAGATGTCGAAAAAGTGCACGCCGTTGTGGCGCGAAGCACATTTCCAAGTCAAAATGCACAAAACACACCATGTTCGGACCACTTTTGGAGGTTCAGATGTCGAAAAAGTGTCGAAAAAGTGCACGCCGTTGTGGCGCGAAGCACATTTCAAAGTCAAAAGTGTAAAAAACTGAGGGTTTTGAGCCTTTTTTGACGTGAAGATGTCGAAAAAGTAGACACTGATTAACTTAACTAACTTGACTAACTTAACTAACTTCACTAACTTAACTACCCTAACTTCGACGACAACAGCAACAGCAACAGCAACAGCAACAGCAACAACAACAACAACACCAACCACAACCACAACAACACCAACCACAACAACTACAACAACAACAACAACAGCAACAACTACAACTACAACTACAACTACACAACAACTACAACTAGAACTACAACTACAACAACTACAGCTACAACAACAACAACTACTACTACTACTACTACTACTCCTACTACTACTGCTACTACAACAGCAACAACAACAACTACAACTACAACAACAACTACTACAACAACAACAGCAACAACAACTACTACTACTACTACACTACACAACAACTACAACCACACAACAACTACAGCTACAACTACAACAACAACTACAACTACAACAACTACAACTACAACTACAAAACAACTACATCTACAACTATATGACTGCAACTACACTACACTAATTACATTACACCACAACTACAACTCCACTACGCTACAACTACAACTACAGTTGCAGTACATCACACTACATCCAGCAGTTGTGGGTGAGGTGACCACTGCAACCATTGCAACCATTCAAGCAAACACAACTCCAACCACCTTTCGGTCAATCAGTGGATTCGCTCTGCCATCCGTGATTCACAACAACTAACGTCTCCTATAGGTTTCCTATTCTGAAACTTCCGCCACCGCCTTGTGCGGTACTACTGGTAATGACGACGTTGATTGATGATCAAAAAACATGATGATCATGATGATGATGATGACGATGATGGTGATGATGACGATGACGATGCCACGACGATGATGATGATGATGATGGTGATGATGATGATGATGATAATGACGATGATGATGATGATGACGATGACGATGATGATGATGACCATGATGATCATGACGATCATGATGATGATCATGGTGATCATGATGATCATGATGATGATCATGACGATGATGATGATCATGATGATGGTCATGATGATCATGATGATCATGATGATGATCATGATGATCATGATGATCATGATTACGATCATGATGATCATGACGATCATGATGATCATGATGATCATGATCATGTTAATCATGATGAGAATGATGAGAATTACGATAATTATGAGAATGATGAGAATGATTATGATGATAATGACGATGACAAGGACGATGGTGATTTTGATCATGATGTCAATGATCATGATGATCATGATGATCATGGTGATCATGATGATGATCATAATGATCATGATGATGATGATGATCATGATAATAATCATGATACTGATCATGATGTCAATGATCATGATGATCATGATGATCATGGTGATCATGATGATGATCATGATGATCATGATGATGATGATCATGATAATGATCATGATACTGATGATGATGTCAATGATCATGATGATCATGATGATCATGACAATCATGATGATCATGATGATGATCATGACGCTCATGATGATCATGATGATGATCATGACGATCATGATGATCATGATGATGATCATGACGATCATGATGATCATGATGATGATCATGACGATCATGATGATCATGATGATGATCATGACGCTCATGATGATCATGATGATGATCATGACGATCATGATGATCATGATGATGATCATGACGCTCATGATGATCATGATGATGATCATGACGCTCATGATGATCATGATGATGATCATGACGCTCATGATGATCATGATGATGATCATGACGATCATGATGATCATGATGATGATCATGACGCTCATGATGATCATGATGATGATCATGACGCTCATGATGATCATGATGATGATGACGATCATGATGATCATGATGATGATTCATGATGACGATCATGATGATCATGATGATGATCATGACGATCATGATGATCATGATGATGATCATGACGCTCATGATGATCATGATGATGATCATGACGCTCATGATGATCATGATGATGATCATGACGCTCATGATGATCATGATGATGATCATGACGATCATGATGATCATGATGATGATCATGACGCTCATGATGATCATGATGATGATCATGACGATCATGATGATCATGATGATGATCATGACGCTCATGATGATCATGATGATGATCATGACGATCATGATGATCATGATGATGATCATGACGCTCATGATGATCATGATGATGATCATGACGATCATGATGATCATGATGATGATCATGACGCTCATGATGATCATGATGATGATCATGACGATCATGATGATCATGATGATGATCATGACGATCATGATGATCATGATGATGATCATGACGATCATGATGATCATGATGATGATCATGACGCTCATGATGATCATGATGATGATCATGACGATCATGATGATCATGATGATGATCATGACGCTCATGATGATCATGATGATGATCATGACGCTCATGATGATCATGATGATGATCATGACGATCATGATGATCATGATGATGATCATGACGCTCATGATGATCATGATGATGATCATGACGATCATGATGATCATGATGATGATCATGACGCTCATGATGATCATGATGATGATCATGACGATCATGATGATCATGATGATGATCATGACGATCATGATGATCATGATGATGATCATGACGCTCATGATGATCATGATGATGATCATGACGATCATGATGATCATGATGATGATCATGACGATCATGATGATCATGATGATGATCATGACGCTCATGATGATCATGATGATGATCATGACGCTCATGATGATCATGATGATGATCATGACGCTCATGATGATCATGATGATGATCATGACGATCATGATGATCATGATGATGATCATGACGCTCATGATGATCATGATGATGATCATGACGCTCATGATGATCATGATGATGATCATGACGATCATGATGATCATGATGATGATCATGACGCTCATGATGATCATGATGATGATCATGACGATCATGATGATCATGATGATGATCATGACGCTCATGATGATCATGATGATGATCATGACGCTCATGATGATCATGATGATGATCATGACGATCATGATGATCATGATCATTATCCCCAGAAGGACTATCACTACACGTGCCCTATCATGGAAACCAACTCTTTCCCTTAGGGGACGATGCACCTCCGAGAAAGTTGCCCGAGCCTGACGGAGTAGCATTCAACATTGTGCCACAAGACGGTAGCTAAAGCCAGACAAAATCTAAGGTGGAAATGGTGGAAATCAAAAAAAACAAATGGCCATTTCAATCATCTTCCAAAGCTAAATCCTGGCCTCCACATGAGTTTTTTTCATGGCCATGGATTGGTCATTGGAGGAGGCATCCACCATGCTGGCTGCGCCTGCTCAAGGCTCGAAATCGTTCGTGGTCCAACATCACAGACTCCTGCATTAAAAACATCGCTGTTGTTCACCCCTCGGTCCCCTCGGTGGCCCGTGCCGGTTTTTCTCTTCATGCTTCGATAGTGATGATGATTCACCCAATACCCTCTGGTAAACATACAAAAAACTATGGAAAATCACCATTTTTTATGGGAAAACTCACTATAAATGGTCATTTTCAATAGCAAACTGTTAAATTACCAGAGGGTAAACGAATCCGGCAAAGAAAATCACCCTTTCCAACAAAAATCCATCCGCTTCGACGCCAACCTGGAGCATCTTCAGCGCATCTTCATGCATCTTGGCCCGGCAGAAGTTGGGTATCTGTGGCACCGCGACACGCGGAACGGTGGAACGGTGACCGTTCGCAGCAATGGTCAAAAAAAAACGGGCAAAAGGATGGTAAGCCCACGGCTTTTCAAAAAATGTGGATTGATGAAAACAAAAAAAAACTCATCTACCGAGATTTCGTGCTGAAACTGTCTAGTCTACTCCTGCAGCTGACAAGCAGAAATGAATTTTCGTGACGGTTGGAATGTGTCATTGTGGACACATCTTCCAAACTCAACTAAATTTCAGGGGTGCAACATACAGTTTGACTACAAAGTACCTCCAGAAAGAAAAATCTGAAAAGGCACCAAAAAAAACATTGTTAGCACTTTGGAACTGGACACCAGTTCGAAAATCTCCAATAGTTCCACTGCCTCAAGGGCCCGTCGAAGCATCAGGGCCGCCTGGTAGGGACCGAAATGCGCCATCAGAGGCCGGGCCAAGAGGTCCAAAAAAATGGCCCCTCCGGGCTTTTGCTCCAGTGCCCGGAGCCGCTCGGCATCACTGTACCACCACCTGGTGCCGGGCGAGAAAATCTAGACATGTCAAACAGAAGCTTGAGATGTTGATGTTTTTAGACATCTGCAACAACAGGAATTAGGGAGCCCACCTTCAACATGCAATCACTCGCTTGATTTTGAAGGCAACTTTCCGGGTAATCTTTTGGATTTTTCGTTCATTGTATGGTTTTTCCATTTTTCATCAAACAATCAGAGCAAGAAGCAAGGGTCATCATCCGCCACTGCTTGTGCATCATTCAACCCTACAGTCGAATCTATTTCAGGAAACCCGATTTTTTTGTTATATGACCCAAGTATACCCAACTGGCTCTGAAAATGGGGTATACCATGGTATACACATTTTTCATGGCCATTTCAATGGGGGTGATACCCATTCAAAAAACCATTGGAAAATTAGGCCGCCTGGTGGCCAAGAGCCAGGCCCAGAGAAGCGAAGACCTGAGTCACTGCAGGTTACCCAGGTTTTCTGACGACATCCAATAACAGGTATATAACAAATACCAATAATATATATATATCTGGGATATCACCATAGAGACCAACAACTATACTACAACCCAAAATTGTTGCTCTGCAATGGTGATGAATGGTGTGGGAAAAAAAATACTGAAAAGGCGTTTGATGTCCCAGGACCCTGACAGAAACAATTTCAAACGGAAAGGATGGAAGGTTGGCTGGTCATCATTGACAATCGTCATCGAGTTTTTTGGCTATAGCAGCCCGGGGATAATAATTGATAATAGCACAAGGGTTTATATCACAGTTTGATGCTTTGTCTACAGTATAAATTCATTACATGAACATATTTCAATATAACCTAACTACAGTATTTCCCCAACAAGCATCCCCTGGTTTCGCATTCTGTTGACCTGTCTCAAAGAGAGATCCTGATAGTTGTTTCCCTGCAACCATAATTTTTTGTCGTTCTTAACCAGTAAACACGGTACTTCTACAACGAGCAAGAAGTGGTGCTTCACCAAAATGGGAAATGCCGTCATGCAAGAGTGCTCATCTAGTTTACAATCTGGTGTATTGCCGATTTATTATCTACTGGAACCCTGTTGTAACCGCGCCTGAATTTTCATGGCGATGGGAAATTGCTGGACGCTGCCGATTTTCTCTCTCTGTCTCTGTCTCTGTCTGAACCCGCTCAGCAACTTTCGATGCTGACTCCAAGAATAATCGAGCGACCCACTTCAGCCGGCTGCTGTCACGGTCACAAGACCATGAGTGCACGGGCTGCAATACAAAGGTTCCATGCCAAATGCTTTGCATTGGAAAAACTACTTGCGTTCAAAGAGTGCAGCATGAACCCCCTGTGTGCCATGAATATAGTTTCCCACTGGATTGGTTGTGGACTCAACCTATATCTGTTCTTTCCACATGCAAGCAAATATATGTGTACGTGCATACTCAATGATTGTACAAAGTACATGCCTCTATAATTATGTGTACTTATTATTATGATTATTATTTGCTCTATAGTTATGTGTATTTATTATTATGATTATTATTTGCGGAATGCGCAACTGGTAGCAGGCAAGGCGACGACTCTCCTTTTCTCGCCCCGACAACGACTGAAAGCATGTTACACGCAATGTCTGTACAACTGTCTCTTGCTTCTCTGGTGCTTCTCGATTTGTGCTGTCATCTTTGCATGCTGCTCAATGCTTGCATCACCAGCAGACCGATCACACGCCTGGCAACCTGATGCGCCTCTGGTGTTTGAGCCGGCAGGCTCCAAGGTTGCAACTGCTCCAAGTCAATGCTCCTGGGCTAGGATCTGGAACCCCTGGAGGAAGATTTCGCTTTCCACATCGGCAGCCACTCTTCTGCTTCACTCGGTATCGGCTTGTTTTTGTGACTCTCAAGACTAACTTTCGCAGCACGCTTCTGTCTCTGTAATCTTTTCCGCTCTTTGAGAATCTTGTTGGACTCGCTCTGAACCAAAGTCATCACTCCATCTCGCAAGAACTCTTTCAAAGTCTCCTTCTCGGCATTGGCCTTCGTCAGAACATTGGCGATGTTCTGCATGCCGTCGACCCATCTGACACTTGCGCCAGGCTGGCGCACTGTTTCTCGAAGAAGTGCTCCTTCGATTGCCATCCTTTTGTCACTGGAAGTGCTTGTGGAGTCCTCCTGCAAATAGTCAAAGACGCTTCTGGCATCCGTCACATAAACTCTTTGGCGCCGTTGAACTACGCTGGGCCAATCTTTCAAATTCAGTTCCCCGCTCAAAGCTTCTTCCAAAGACAGCAACACCAGTCACCGGCCTCAATGGCCTCGGCTAAATGGGATGCTTCAGCTGCCAACCTACAAACACGCTTCGCCTGTCCACTGTGAAAACTAAGAATGTTTGCTTGGGCACTCTTCCCTTCCCACGCTGCGGTAGCGAAGAGTGTCATCCTTCTCACGACTTCCATTTGCATGCCCGCTGTCAACTAGGTGGATAAGCACGCCATTTCGTAGATCAACATCTGACCAGTAGCGCAAGCGCAAATCAGCTCCCCTCTGAGCCATAGAGAGATACTGTCTCAGCTTCACAAGGTCAGCAACGCAAGCATCCCCTTTGGCACGTTGCACCACGCCATTTTCATAGCATAAGTCACAACGCAGTTGACGAGTCAACCAACCAAGCTCGCCTGCGCCAGATTGATACACCTGTTAAACTCCTCCTCTGTCAGTGAACTCTCAAGTTGCTGTCTGCGAATGCGGTCGATTTGAATCTTCTTGGTGTTCAGGGAGTAGTTTCTCATTGAAACATCAACATGCCCGCGGTCACGCTGTTTGATTTCTCGACCGCGAAAGACAAACTCCTTGAAGCGGTTTGTGGCATACTCCGAGGCCTGGCTGTACTTGGCAAAAGCTCTGTCAACGTAGTCCTGCTGGACGCCTCCTTCGACATCATCAACATGGGTAACCAAAATACCAACCAATCGTGACTGACTGTCAGGAAGAAAGAAAAGCGCTGGCTCCAAACGGCTTTGAACCCATCCATCGCTTTCCAAATGGCCTTTCAAAGCAACCCAGAAAAGTCTCGCCGCTTCGCTGAAACCATAGACGGCCTTCTTGGCCTTCATCAACTGCCCAGGCTTTAGCTGTCCCAGGCCGCCTCGTGGTTGTTCGAGGTTAATGTCTCTTTCCAAGGACTTCCCACTGAAGTAGGCATTCTTCACATCCTTGGAAACCATGACAAAGTTCATGAAAGCTGGAACTGCCAAACAAATACTTTCTGCCAATAAACTTGCCGTGGGTGCATCCCTTCTGTCGAAACCTAAGCTTCTATCTCTGAACCCTTGGACGACAAGTCTGCTCTTGGCCTGAAAAGCTTGGCCTTCAAGACCCTCTCTTTTTTTTGTACGCACCCATCTCGTGGGGACTATCAATTCTGGATGATTCCTGCGAATCCTTTGGCTCTCTTCAAGACTGAGAACTTCCACAGCGTCCTTCTCCCACCATGCATGCCATTCCTTCTCATCTGAACCACCAAGCCCAAGAAACTTCTGCCTGGTCTGTTCATCCAAATCTTTCAACTGGATCTCTTTCCTGCCCTCCCTCTTGCCGCTTGCAGTGCCAGGAGATGCACCAAGAGCATAACCATGCATGGCGCACCTCTCTGTGACGCCGTCGCGAATCTTGATATGTCTTCCTCTGCCTGTCCATGGTGGCAAAGGCTTGGAAAACCTCGTCATCGCCCGAGGCCCCAAAATCCGATGGTGGGTCCGCGTCACAGGACTCAGTCTGGCCACCCTGGTCACATGCAGAGGTCTTGTCATACTCTGAAGCCTGGTCATACTCAGCAATGCTGTCATATTCATCCATCTGGGCATAGGCAGAGCCCGGGTCATACTCTGGAACGTCTTCCTCGTCCAGAGCCTCTTCATCGTCAACCATGTGGGCATAGTATCGCTTCCCCTTGCCATAGCCCTTCGGCTTTCGATCATCCGGCTTGGAAGCCTTTTCACGCTCATGGTAATCATGAAAAGACACCCTCATGGCTTTCTCGATGCTGTCGGGGTGGTAGTTGGACCCCGTGTTCACAAGGATCTGCCGCCTATCATCTTTGCTGCGCCCGCTGTGCTTCAGAACAAAGTCGGCCAGGAGGTCACTAGACATCGACGTAGCGGAGTCAAGGTCCTGAAGATCGGACCAGTCCTGCCGCCGAAAGCGAAGATATTGATCAAGTGCTTGGCCCCTTCGACGGAATCCCTTCTCGAAGAATCTGTCAAACTGCTCCGTCTTCTTCACCACAGCCAACTTCTCAATCGACTGCAAGCAGGCGAGCACGTGTTTGTACCCCTGCTCTTCACTCAGCTTTGCCATGTCGGTGATGAGCTCTTGACATGCCTTCCACGCTTCTCCATGAAGCCCATTCAGCAAACGCTTTGCAAACGCCTTCTTCTTCTTCTTCTGCTTCTTCTTCTTCTTCTTCTTGGAAAGGTCTCTACGCTCCTTCTCTTCGGTATCTCGATCGCCTTCAAGGGACTGAAAAGCAAACAATACCCTTCGCCTGCACTCTTTCGTCAACTCAGGCTTCACCCCCGTGTAATAGGGAATGCCGTCTCTGTCGACGACCACCTCATCATCTCGCCAGAAAATGGAGCTGCCAGCGGACATGGCTCGGAGACCAGCTCCGCTACCAGTGCAGAATGCGCAACTGGTAGCAGGCATGGCGACGACTCTCCTTCTCTCACCCCGACAACGACTGAAAGTATGTTGCACGCAATGTCTGTACAACTGTCTCTTGCTTCTCTGGTGCTTCTCGATTTGTGCTGTCATCTTTGCATGCTGCTCAATGCTTGCATCACCAGCAGACCGATCACACGCCTGGCAACCTGATGCGCCTCTGGTGTTGGAGCCGGCAGGCTCCAAGGTTGCAACTGCTCCAAGTCAATGCTCCTGGGCTAGGATCTGGAACCCCTGGAGGAATTTCACATTATTATTACTATTATTTTTATTACTATTATTATTACTATTACTATTATTATTGCTAGTGTTATTATTTTTGTCATTATATTTACTGTATGATATGTCGCGTTTACTTATCTATTGTTTATTGAACGATCCTATACATATATGACATATCGATAAAGAATAAAGATAAAGAATTCTTAATTAAATTAAAGAAACTAAGAAAGAAAAATACATGTGTTTGTATATATATATATACATAAACACGCTTATATATATATATATATGCATCAAAAAAATACGCCAGCATAGACCCCAGATAGCAAACAAAAAAAATGGTGGCAGCCAAGCGCTTGCCTTTTTTGCTACGGCATAAACGTAATCTCTGTCAAGGCCCAACGCCCACACTGCCATAGACATCTCGCAGCCACCTGCAGCGGCACCAGCAAGCCAGCCAAAGCGCACACGCCCCCGTTCCAAAGCGCACAGATCCAACTCATCCTATACTTGAAGTAATCACCCCAATAGCTTCGCTATCTGGGGAAAAAAACATATATATATATATATGTAATATATATACCTGTGTGATAACTGTAGGCAAAGTGTATGTTGATGTGATTGGGGATACTCATCAAAAAATTCTCGTGGAAAGGCACTAAATGGCACCAAAGGGGTTTGCTGTGGCGCTGCAAAACATCAGGAGCCACCTGCAAAGAAGCTGTTCACAACTTGCAACGAGCAAGTGCACCACTGGTTGGGTGCTTTTCCCACACTTCATGGTCTCTGACCCACAACTGGGCTACTGGGCCAGGTGCAAAGTGCTGGGATCGATTGCTTCGCAAATTGGGGATCGTACGGCTTGACGACTCATACCTACATAGCCCTCTGGAAATTTAAGATACCTATGGAAAATCGCCATTTATGGTTGATTGACTTATAAAAAAATTGTGATTCTCCATGGCTATGTTAGTTTACCAGAGGAGGCTTCCTGCAAATCCAACCCCCCATTAGGCAGTGTTTGTTCGTTAAAGTCTAACATCTCAGTTTGGTCATTAGAAACCCAGTTTTTAGTAGTGAATATTCCATGATTGTTGCTCAATATCCCACACACAATCCCCATTTTTTACTGTGAAAAATCCAACATGTAGTGCGAAGTCCAATTCGTGTTGCTTAAATTCCTTTCTCTGTGAAAATTAGTTCTTAGTTGGGAACATGTATTTGTTGCTTGCATTCGCATGGCTGGTCTAAAATCTGATGTGGTTTTCCAAGAAAATTCGAAAAAAAAAACTTTTCGTTGGTGAGAATCCTTTCCATTTTTGTTGCTGAACATCCAATGTTTTTCTTCGAGAAATATCTCCGCATTTCGTGAAAATGACCAAGGGAAAAATCTACCCGTGTTTGGTGGTTAAACCGCCATTTCTGGTACAAGTATCCCCAGGTTTCATCCTACCTGGACATCAGTCGGTGCTTTCCGGCTCAGTGCTGGAGTTCTCCATGGCATCGTCCTGTAGGTGAAAATGATGAGGAAAATGCGGGACATTCGCAGCAAACGGTCAGTTCTTTTCGGAAAAATCATGATAACCCCCCCAAATTCACATAGACCCTGAAAATCGCCGAATTTGAGCGGAAACGAATCTTTCAACCCCTACTTGAGTAGTTTGGGGTATGGTAACCAAATTCCATCACTTTTTGTTGACGAAACACCCTTCTTTAAGACAATTTTTAGCAAATTGGTTGTCTGCCCCTCTGTGGAGAAAACATATAGTTGGTAGATGCCTCACACTTCAGCCATTTTTGTGTTGCTGCGAAATCAGAAACACAAACTTACTGTATGCGAAAGATGCGTTTTTGTTTTTGTAGATAATTCAATTTTGAACCATACCCACCCAGCAGGATGCCAGGCATTTCAAGGGTGCAGACTCCTTTCGGAGTAATCCAGGAATCCCAAAATACACGGGGCACCGGACCCAACCAGTTGGCCTTAACGGTTAATCCAATTCGTCGGGACGTCCGAGGTATTCGCCAGTGGGACAACTGTAGATGAAAAAAACCTTGCAATACGTATCTACACAATCTACACATATGGTGGAACTTGATCTCAAGCCTGGAACCTTCCCAGAAAAGATCAGACAAGGAACAGCTTCCAGGCCGATCGACATCACCTCAAAGGACGAGGTTCCATTCAGCTGCAGCTTGATGCGGTTTCAAGATGTTTCAAGATCTTCAGCTGATCTTGTTGAGACCATCAAAAGGGTTCCAGTCTGCTGGTGAGTTCTTCTAGCCGGGCAACTTTGACTTATCTGACCAAATCCTGCGAATGTTAATGATGTCCAATTCCTGCTGATCATTTTTTGGCAGTGTTGACCTTTACCTCGCAATAAAAGGTGGCATCAAATAAAATTGGCCACCAAAAAGCACAGAAGCGTGGCATGCCTCAAGATCAGACACACTCGAAGCCGTCGTGGAATTACCGTCCTCCCCCTCCAAGGCCTAAGGCAGGATCGGTGCTGAACTGTGAAAAGACTTGCTGACCATGCGCAATTCATACTATGCTACCCCTCCCTTTCCCAGATCCACTTGTAACTGAGAAAATTATGTGCAGTCGTCCCTTTCCACAAACCTTGACTTCCCTGGCTGCACAATACTGAGCCATGTTTGACGCAAAAACCTCAAGAGAACCAAGCATCAACTGTTGGAAAACCACAAGAAACTTGAGTCGCTTTGTTTTTTGTATATAGTTGTGTTTCAATGCATCTAGTTGAAAGAAAAGAAAAAATGGTTGTCCATTGTCCAAACCCAAAACAAACTGAAGGATAGCCAAAAAGACATTTTTGGAGCCTCAAACCGAACATTCTCTTCTCTTGTTGATGGGTTTCGGCAAATGTTCACAAAATGACAATCCAGAAAGCAACCAACACAAAATAAAATGCACGGAAAATCAAACGATACATGTTTGAGGTTCTAATCAAACATTCTCTTGTTGTTGTTGGTCTGCATTTGTCCTTGGAGAAGTGGCTACATTGGTGTGCAGTTTTTTTTTGGCACTGCGGAGTCAGATGACACTTGTCAAGACAAGTTGCATATAGCAAATAAAAGGATAGGTCTGATGGTATCATTTTTATATATTTATATTATACAGTATACGGTATGTATGTGCATATTTCTATGTTTGACATGTACATACATGTATAATGGTTAGTGTATTGTACTGTGTATATATCTATGTCATGATTAATATGTATGTATATATGTAATCATCTACATGTGTGTATATATATATATTATGTGATACAGTCAATATTTATCAACATATCAAAGTTCACAGATATATGTTATTGTAAAAATGTCCTTTGTATATGTTTAGATATGTGACAATATGTGTTAATGCGAATCGGGGATTGCCTTCCCGATTATATTCCAGTAATTGATGTTGATGTTTGTTGTTCCAGTGATGACTTCACAAAGACGACGGCTTCCGCATGGCGTTCCTTTTCTCTGTTACTGCAGTGGATCTTGAGCCAAAAGGGCGATTATCACAACCCTTTGGCTTCGAGTCTTAGAGTGAATTATGTGATAATGTACATTGGTCCGTAGCTTACACTCTATTCGCACCCCCCACGCATAGCCAACTTTGTTGGCTACGCGCAAAGTAGTGTCCCTCGAATTGATCCACTATATTTGCAGCTATTCATTTGTTGAATTATGGAGAGCTAAAGTCCGTTTCAGAACTTTCAATCTACATGGCGGCTTGCTACAATCTCTACCAAAAGATAAAGGTTCTGTTCACGTGCATGTAGACACGACGTAGTCGGTGTCTAGCATTGAGGTTCATCCAATGTGGCGTAGCCAGCATGGAGTCTCATTCAAGCATGTGAATTAAAGAAATCAAAACACAAAGTTGACTATGGAACTAGAAGTTTACCTTCCCGTCCCTTCGTCGGTTGAGACGTAGACCGCTGTAGAAACTCAGCGTTTCATGCAATGATGTTCAAAAAAAATATGTGGTTCTAAATTAGCCGGCTCAGAGTCCTCTCAGAAATCATTCAAAATGAAGTAGAGGTAAATCTCGAGCAATGATTGCATCCTCGCATCGCCAGGTTCAATCGGGACCTATGCAGAGGTCAGATCGCTTAATCATCTATTTCCCCATCCATAGTATCCCTGATGGTTCCAGTCTCCGCCACGGTGTGAATAAGATTTTCCACCTTTTCCTTGGTCTTTTCCACCCTTCTTTGGCGGGGTCACTGGAGCTTGTTTTGGCGGAGGAGCGGTTTCAACTGTTCTCCATGTCGCTGACGATGATGCTTTCGCTTTCGACACTCTTCCCAGTGCTGGTGCAGCTTTCGGGGCTGCTTTCGATTTGCCAGCGGCTGGATTGGCACGTTCACGATCAGCAGGAGTCGGGGTATCAGCAATCGCAAGTATGTGAGCTTCAGACAAGTGGATGCCCCACCTTGGTCGTTGATCTTCCCGTTGCTTGATGTGATTGTAGTCATCGATCGCATCATATAGCTTTTGGAGTAGAGGTCGCGGCAATTGTCGGCCATTCTGAAGGATCAGGTGTAAAAGTGATATTCTTCGAAGTGGTGGACGAAGAGCACACACAATGTCAACTGGATTCAGTGTGATTGTGTCTTGAAAGTCAACGTTCCTGAAGAAATAAACAGCATTTACCCTATATGCACCTGCAATGATTCTTCTGACCATGACGTCTTGTCGGTCGAGGGCGTCGCGGGCCGCTGTGGTCTTTCTCATCTCAT